TTCAAAGCTATGACCTTCTTCCAGCGGGTGTGGGGTCACAAATGTTGAGGCTCAGTTTGTCTCTGTGATTGGTGGCAAATTCTAAGTTGACTTCCATGAGTTGATCTCACCAAGCCATTTATCCTTTTCAGTCCCATCCTTCTGTGACTTTTGGTAGGTCATTGTAATCATATTATCAGTTAGGTCTCTCCTGATGTATCTCAGAAGGTCCCATTGATGTGCCGTTTGAAATCACAACTGATCAGTGTCAGAGAGATGCCGGTGTTTCCGGTTAGGGGTCAGCGAGACTGAGTGAGCAAACTGTCCCAGTTGACAGGTGGTCCTGCTGCTGAGGAATTGTGTTTTCTCCTCTCCCAGCCCCTTCTTGTTCTGTGCACAGGGCCCAGTGACTTCTCCAGTTGAACAGACACACTTTCCTGTGCAGTCCTGGCTGCAGCCAGGATCCCCCTTCCTGGTTCTCTGATCCTCCCATTCAGCCCTGTGAGGTGTGGAGCCAGGCAGGGACGATGGAAAAGCTGCTGTTCCCTTTCCTCTGTCACATGTGCCATGTCACTTTCCTTCTCGGAATCTAACAGCCCCACATTTGTATCTACTGCTTGTTCTATCAAGAATGGAAAGTTTCTTCCCAGGCCCGGCAAACATAAGGCCACTGTGAGCCTCGGGCAAGGGTCCAGGCCTTTCCAGAAAGCCTCCTTCCCTGGCACACCGAGGAGCACTGCTGATCGGAGGGCAAGGGTCTGCTTGTGTTTAGTTATGCTGTCTCTGCTGTTCTCTGACTTCCTCCTCCTCCTCCTCCATTATTCCTCTTTTCTGTGAAAATGCTTTTCCTGTCTAAGATCCCAGTGGACTCCCAACACCTCCTTAGGCTAGGCCGTAGCAAGGTCATTGTTAGAGCAGATAGATGAGGAACTCACCATAGTGAGTTAAAAGTGTTAGACTACGGACAGAATGGGCATGAGTCTCATAGGGATCAAGATCACTCCAAGGTTACTCTTTTTGTGGCTCTTCTGAATCTGTGACTTTTCTTGGACACTGACTACATAATATGCTTTGGGGAACTACTCACAAATGTACACAGACATAAACCAAGACACGCATCTTGTAATTATTTACAATCACAAGAACATGAAATTATTTAAATAACTGCCTGCCAGAGGAAGACTCCTTAGATTCTTAGAGGTGTACCCATGCAGTAGGACACAGTGTTCATGAGAAACCATAAGATAATCTAGAGGCGGTGACTAGAGAGGTGCCTGTAACATACTGATAAGTGAAAAAAAATGTCGATTTATATTTGCATATCATGTATACTGAATATGTGTGTGCAGCCACAGAAATGCCTGGAAGTATAAACTATACACTAGTAACAAATCATGGGGTTGGAATGGGGATGGAAGGTGGAGTAGATATTTTGCTTTTTAGTTTATGTAGATTTGTGAGAATTACTATTTTACAATCTTATAATTTTAAAACAAGCAATTACTATCACTTAGGCAGTAATTGATACAGTAATATCACTGACTTACCGATAAGATTTTTTTTCTTTTCTTTATTTCCCTTTCCTTCCTTTCTCCGGACCCCTCCCCTTTGTATTGTTGAGAAAAGATTTCATTCTGTAACCCAGGCTGACCTGAAACTCATTCTGTAACCCAGACTGTCCTGGAACCCAGGCAGCCCTCCTGCCTCAGCCTCCAGAGTCCTGGAGTTACAGGCAAGTTTCACCTCATGGTTAGATCTGTGCTCCTTTCGACTTCTGGTGTGTGTGTGTGTGTGTGTGTGTGTGTGTGTGTGTGTGTGTGTGTGTGTGAGGGAGTCGTGATCAATTCTCCTTTATTTTAAGAACCACAGAAGTGTTCTTCTGTAAGACTCTAGCTGATGTATGCAAAGGTCGGTTTTCAGTGTTCTGGTGTCATCCCAACTATGTACCCCTCGTGGTTCTGGGCTTACTGCTTATCCAGAGGAAGGGAAATCACTCACAAATTATATTTTGTTATAAAAATTAAACATTAGATGATAACTTGATTTTTTCTTTTATTTATTCTTTGACAGTTTCATACATGTATATACTGTGTCTTTATCATATCTGCCCTCCCGTCTCCCCTTCCACGCTTACCAAACACCTCCCAGCCCATACTCCTCTGGCTTTTTAACTAAGTCCAGTTAGTGGACTTCTGGAATGTTAGCTGCTGATAAATGTTGAAAACTATGGTATTTAAGTTTGATAACAAAAAAGGAGCAATAGTTAATATAGTATGAGGGTCCTCAAAATGTGAAGCCATTGAGTTCACTGTACTCATATTTTCTTCCTTCCTTCCTTCCTTCCTTCCTTCCTTCCTTCCTTCCTTCCTTCCTTCCTTCCTTCCTTTTTTTGAGTCTTACTGTGTAATCCTAGCTGTCCTGGAACTCACTCTGTAGACCAGGCTGATCTCGAACTCCCAGAGCTCCGCCCGCCTCTGCCTCCCAAGGGCTGGGATTAAAGGCGTGTATGCTAGTGTGCCCAGCTCATGTTTTCAGTTTTAATCCAAAACCCAAGTTACTTCCTGTCAGCTTTCTGGAGGGAAAATAATGTTTTTGTCAATTTTATGTGACTTAAAGATTTAGAGGATTGAATTATTTCTATTATTGTGGTAGTTTAATGTCATTTTTTTCGTGTAGATGATGAATATTAGCAACTCCAGATGCCGTAATGTCTGTGGCAGTGAACCAGAGGTGAACACAGTAGAGAAGCGGTCAGTGTGCCGATGTTCCTGCCCCAAAGCTAGGTGTTAGGTGGGCTTTTGTGGGAGGCATGCCTTGACTGGACTTTAGCTCTTTGGTATGAGTTTACAGGATTGAAGTTAAGACACTATGATGACAGCTGGCTGTAGCTCTACACAGTGGAGAGTAATTTCTACTCTAGTGTTGGATTATATAAACACTTTGTGTGAAGTACAGTAGTTTTCCTTTTTTGTGATTCTGTGGATCAAACCCAAACATGCCTTGTGCATGTTAGACAAATGCTGTACCACTGAGTTACAGTCCAAACCCTCTAAAGAACGTTTTGTGGTTCTGGAGGGATGGCCCAGTCTTGAGATGCGTGCTGCACAAGCATTAGGACCTGGGTGGATCCCCAGCACCATGGTTTTTTAAAAAGAAGTTGGGCGTGGTGAAATATATCTATCATCCCAATGTTGGAGAAGCAGAGACAAGAGGATTTCTAGAGACTGCTGGCCAGCCGGCCTAGCCTAATGGTGACCCACAGGTCCCAGTAAGAGACCCATCTCAACGAACAAGGTAGATGACTCCTGAGGAGTGACACTGGAGATTAATCTCTGACCTACACACACACTTTTGTGGGTGAAAGAGTTTTGTCTGTGTAGCTAAGACTAACTGTGGTTTCTCTGCCTTGGGATGCAGCAGGTGCTCTGTGGTTGTTTCTCTGCCTTGGGATGCAGCAGGTGCTCTGTGGTTGTTTCTCTGCCTTGGGATGCAGCAGGTGCTCTGTGGTGGTTTCTCTGCCTTGGGATGCAGCAGGTGCTCTGTGGTTGTTTCTCTGCCTTGGGATGCAGCAGGTGCTCTGTGGTGGTTTCTCTGCCTTGGGATGCAGCAGGTGCTCTGTGGTTGTTTCTCTGCCTTGGGATGCAGCAGGTGCTCTGTGGTTGTTTCTCTGCCTTGGGATGCAGCAGGTGCTCTGTGGTGGTTTCTCTGCCTTGGGATGCAGCAGGTGCTCTGTGGTTGTTTCTCTGCCTTGGGATGCAGCAGGTGCTCTGTGGTTGTTTCTCTGCCTTGGGATGCAGCAGGTGCTCTGTGGTGGTTTCTCTGCCTTTTGATGCAGCAGGTGCTCTGTGGTTGTTTCTCTGCCTTGGGATGCAGCAGGTGCTCTGTGGTTTCTCTGCCTTGGGATGCAGCAGGTGCTCTGTGGTTGTTTCTCTGCCTTGGGATGCAGCAGGTGCTCTGTGGTTGTTTCTCTGCCTTGGGATGCAGCAGGTGCTCTGTGGTTGTTTCTCTGCCTTGGGATGCAGCAGGTGCTCTGGTCCCTCCTGGTGTCCTCTCCAGCCAGCATCGGGGACAATCTTTGCTGTGAGCTTGTGTTGTTAGGGAGGCAGAGTATCTGTTTTTGGAAAAGGGACCCAGCCTGGCATGGATCTGACTCCAAAGTGCCTGTGGAGTCTTCTTTGAATATGAAGCCTGGAATGATGGTACTCCAAACAGGTGACCCCTTCAGCATTGCTCGGACTCTGCTCTCAAGGGAGGAGCTGTATCCCAACTTAAAGGCAACACCCTGTGTTCCTTGGGATTTGTCTGTACCATGCCTGGTACCCAAAATGACCCTGGCTGTCTCTGAGCTCTGGCACCTGGCGTACCTTGGTGAGTCCATCAGAAGAAACAGTGTTGCTTATCAAGTTCTGGGGTGTTTTTGTTCCGTTTTTTTCCCTTTAATCTTTCAGAGGCCCTAACTTCTCCATCCATAGTTCCTGACATGTTTCTCATTGTAATTTGAGAAACGAAGGGATAACTTCATGAGGAAATGTTTGTGCTTGTGCTGAAGCTGTAGTTACGTTTGTAAGATTAGACTTACTCATTACCCCCAAACACAGGCAGATTTCTGGCCTAATGGTATCCAGGTATCTCCTAAAATATCAATATGACTAGTTTTCTGTTTATAAATAAAAATTATTTTATTATTATTTTCTATTTATTTATTTATTATTTCTATTTATTTATTTATTTATTCAGGTTATCAGACTTGGTAGAAAATGCCTTACTCGCTGCATCATCTTGACAGCCTAGTTTTATGGTCTTTAATTTGAGCAAATCCACATTTGGTGGATTGTGTTCAGATTGCTTGGAAACTACTTTTGGGACTCTTTAAATCCTCTCCTCATTTGTCTACCTTGGATGGATTTTTCTAACAACAAAACATTACAAATCCCCCCCGAAACTCCCTTCAGCTACGGACTGTGGTGTCCCACAGGCGTCCGTCCGACCGGGTTCAGTGGCTCTCCATTTCTCTTTCCCAGTGCTATTGCCTCCATCCTGCGGGCCTGGCTTGACCAGTGTGCGGAGGACTTCTGGGAACCCCCTCACTTCCCTTGCCTGCAGAAGTTGCTGGAGTATCTCACACGGATGATGCCTGGCTCCGACCCGGAGAGGAGAGCACAAAACCTTCTTGAACAGTTTCAAAAGCAGGAAGTGGATCCCGACAGTGAGTACCTGTTTGGTCCCAGGTAAAACTAGATTGGGCTTCTGCAGTGTGGAGGTTCCCCATTTGTTGGCTGAGTAAGAAACCCTGGTACCCTCAGAAAACTGGGGTAGGTGTAAAATGGTTGAAGTGTTAACTTCAGAACCTTATAGTTTTAGAGTGAAAAGAGAGATTTTCAAAACTGGCTCCAGAACTTTACAGATTAAATTGTGAAGCCGACTCAGAGGAGCGAAGCCGTTTCCCGGGGTTCTTCCCGTTACCAAAGATAAGAGTTTCCTTGACTTTTTATTTTTCAACTTTCGCTTGTCAACATGGGCCATGCTAAACATGAACTGGCTACTTATTCTCTGCCTAAGATCTCCTATCAGATGTAAACCTGTCACAAACAACCACACCATCAGGCTGGCAAGGATTCAAGCCCATTTCCCTCTTTCAGAAGCTTGGAGGGGTGTTTCTCCTTTGCCCTAGAAAGCATTACTGTAATGTGTTCAGGCAGCGTAGATTACTGTCATCCACTCTCTCTAATGGCCTCATCAAAGGAAGTTTCTGAGGCTGTTTTTTCCTACTGGAGGCTGACCTCTGATTTCCAAGGACAAATGCGGGGGCCACTGCTGCTGGCCATAGAGTGTTTGGACTGCCAAGCTCTAAAGAAATTAGTCAAGAGGTTCCATCAGGTTTCCCGAGTGATGAGATAGCCTTTCACTGCGGTGGCCGGTAACAGTTCCCATGGCAGCTGACCCACTTGGAACTTCTGATGGGCACTTCCTTGAAGTAATGCCTGATTTCCTCAGCGAGGGAAAGGAAATGGGTCCTAACGTAGATAAGGGATGCCACCCCAGAGCCAAAGAAAACAGTAACTCCAAATTCTACTCAGTACCTGTTGAATGGTTCCTATGTACTGGGGACCGGAGAAGGGGAATGCAATTGCATCATTTGGCTCAGATTGCCAAAGGCTTTGTATCTCAGATGACTTCATCTGCCGGGAATGCTTGAATACCCGGGAAGCTCCAGCTGCCAGACCTCAGCTCCCTTCAGGGCCTCCGGCCCAGCTTTGTGCTGGAGTGGAAAATGCTGTTACTGCTGCTGCACTGGAGCCCAGCTCTCCCCACCGGGGCCGCCTCTGGCTCCATGCCTAATTGGGGAACCAGTGGGACCAGTCACTGGCCGTCTCTGGCTCAGGGACTGGAGGCCAGAGCTCTTTTGGCAGGCAAAGGCAGGGATTAGGGAGGTGGCCTGACTTCACAAAAACTTTTAGGCAATACCCAAGAATGAATCTTTTCCAAAGTATAGGCAATCGTTATCAAGAAGGCTCCGGGCCCTGTTTATGAAGTTCAGGTGTCCTTCCTGAGTAGGGGTGTTGGGAGCTTGGTTCCCTTGTGCCCTACCCCTCAGGTCACACTAGCGAAAGTAGCAAGTTCTCCTATGTGTTTTCAAAAGTAAAACTGTGCTTAGAGTTTTTACATATCCCCTGGAGAGAGTCAGGTTCTGGAACAGGGAAATCATAGGTCAGCTCCCAGAGAGAAAGGATTATATACAGTCTTCACACAGAGTTACATTCTAGGTGCATACCAGACTTACAAAAGCTTGAATGAATGAATGACTGACTGACTGACTGACTGAATGAATGAATGAATGAATGAATGATGTTAGTCCTTAGCCTGTACTCTCCTTGGCTGGAGCAGGACAGCCTCTGTATTGTTTTACAGGTATTGTGGTACATTGTAGCTGTCGGGAGGCATGGAAGGCCCCTTTGAAGTTTGATTGGCACATCAGACTTCTTACTTCTCCACTGAGTGAGAAAGTACCAGAGTTGAGTGGAGGGAAAGTACTGGGGTCAGGCTAGCATCCTGCACAGGGTGGGATTTTAGCTCTTTAATTGGTACTTGTTTGTATCCAAGATAACAGGAATAGGTAGTGCTGCCCTCCTACCTTTTCCAGACCTAACCCAACCCTTCCACATCAGAGCCTTCAACTCTGAGGTCCAGTCCTGAAATCACAGCCCTGTCACCAGAGTGGGCAGGTAGCACGTGGTACCTGACAGGGAAAGTGATATAGATCTCACTTTGGGCTCCCTGTTTCTCAGAGGTAGCTTAGGAGAAGCTGCATCGATTTGATGATGTTAGATGCCTAACAGCGTCCATTCTAAAGAGAGAAGGGCTTAAAATGTGAACATGCTGAGGGAGTGGTAACACAGAAGGGAATTCCTGCCAAGATGTCATCGTGTGTGACTAGGGTCCCCCTCCCCACCCCCACCCCCACCCCCAGAGCAGTGGCAGGCTTGACAGGAAGGAGAGTGAGGGGTGACGGGAATGAGGTTGGGAAACAGCTCAGGAACTGAGAGAAGATTCCAGTAAGGGGACTTGCAAGTGGAGGCTGGCGGCTCTTGCAGCGGGCCTCTTCAGGAGTGATTAGTGGGTAGTGATTTTCTTTGACTTCTTCAGGCTATGACCCTTGTAACTTTCTGGTGATTGATGATCAGCTATATAGGGTTCCAGTGAATTTAGTTAAAATTTATTTCACACTTTGTACTCACTCAAGGTGGAAGCTGATAGAAACTTTGAAAGTTTGAGGCTGCGAAATGTTTTTGAAGTTCTATGGGTCTCATGCGCATCTCTGAAACCCAAATGGCCTGTCCTACCCACCAAAGCCTGGCCTGCTTCCTGCTCAGTCTTAGGCTCTGGTTCTGAGTGGCCCAACAATCAAGGATTGTGTGGCTGGGGTGAAGGTATTAGCTCGGTTAGTCCCGGAAGTGACGATGGAGTTGGTGGGAGCCGAGATGAGGGGTATGTTCAGCTTCCCTTCTGCAGTCTTTGCCTAGGCTAGCCTCTGAATGACTTCTCTGGGATAGCTCAAGGCCTCTGAGCTTAATAAGAAGGAGTACACAGGATTGGACCCGCATTTTGCTCCGCTATATCGCTCTTGTTCATTTCTACCTGTGGTTTTCTGAAGAGTTAGTTCTCTTCTTCCTGAAAGAAGGAAGTGTAGCTTGACGCCATGAACAAAGCCTTATGTGGCACCCCTTTACTGATTGTTTCCCCATTGTGGACAGATGGACTTCTCAACACCAGCTCCTTCAGCCTGGAAGAGGAAGAGGAACTGGAGAGCGGAGGGTCAGCAGAATTCACGTGCTTCTCAGAAGATCTGGTGGCGGAACAGCTGACCTACATGGACGCAGTAGGTCTCTCACTGAAAACATGGAAAACAATACCAGTGGCCCCAGAGGGCAGCGGGCAGCACTGGGGAATGTGCTGGAGCTCCTTTTGAGTCTTTGACTCTTTGAGAGTCTGTGGCTGCAAAGGGAGGAGAGTTAAGATGCTATGTGAATCACTCCTGTGAATAATTCAAGCCCCAGCTCTTCTTGCAGTCCTGGGTGAAAGTGCATGTTCCTCGGCGCTCAGGTCACAGAGGGAAGTAAGAATTCTAATCCTAGTGAAACAGAATCTACCCTGTTCTGTGGGTATTTCTCTCCCTTCGGACTCATAAATATTTCAAGAGCCGAACTGTTTATTTGGAGGATTGTAACAGGGTCAAAGCACAAGTTAGGATGAAGTAAATTCATTGACTCCACATGTGACCGTATCTGGCGGCCTGTTTCCACGTGCGTTTCCTGCACACTTGAAATTTGACTCTTTCTGTGTGCTGTGCATGCTTGATGGTGTAAGTCACATTTCAGAGCTTCACGTATGCTGGAAAACATAGTTAAAGAACTAGCGATTACCGTGGTGGTTTTACTCTTCTGCACTTAACTGAGCTCTGTCACTCACGCAGCATGCGAAATGGCCAAAGTTTCCGTCTAATGGGAAAGCAAATAAAGTTTGGAAAGTAGATCAGATAGTCTATATAGAACACATGCTGGGTGGAAAGTAGATCAGATAGTCTGCATGGAACACGTGCTGGCCATCTTTCTTTATACCAGCTTTTACACATCTTATATTGAATTGTACAGCTGATCTATTCAGCTGTGGTGGTGTTGTCGTACAACTGATGGGGTAAGGGAAGGATGAAAAGTATCTTACTTTTATTGCTTTAAGGAAAAGACCTGAAAACCAGGTTTTAGTTCCCCCATTCTTCTGTGTCGTATGTGAGGTTGAATTTCTCCCCCTCTTCTGTTAGCTTCTTTCTCGGCTTTGAAAAGCGAGAAACAGTTGCACTGAAGGCTGTGGCATGTGCTGTGTTTACGTGCCCTTCTTCTCAGGTGGCCTGAGAGCATCTGTTGGCGTGGTGGACCGCCTGAGTGTCCAGGGCACTCGGTCTGAGTGGGAGTTAAAATAGCCATCGCCTCTCTTCGTTTTTGATCAGCAGCACAGATCTTCATAGTGTTACTTGACTTTCTGTGCAAGCTGTGGAAATAAAAATGGCTTTGGTTATTTTCATTTTGGGTCAGTTTTTTTTTTCCTCAGTTAAGCAGATTCAAAAGATCACGTGGGGTCCAGGTGTGGTGGTGCACACCTTTGATTCAAACACTGGGGAGGCAGAAGCAGGTGGATTTCTATGAGTTCAAGGCCAGTTCTAGGACAGCCAGGACTACATAGAGAGGTCCCTTTAAAAAAAAAAATCCAAAAAAAACCTCCCAAAACATAAACACCATGCAGCAAGTCAAGCAGAAAAAGATGATTTATCCATTCACAAAACACCGATTTACAGAAGTCCTAGATGACATGTTGTGTAAAGCATCTGTGTTTTCTTTAATGTCAGTTCTTCTTTTGTTTCAGCAACTATTCAAGAAAGTAGTGCCTCACCACTGCCTGGGCTGCATTTGGTCTCAGAGGGATAAGAAGGAAAACAAACATTTGGCTCCTACGATCCGTGCCACCATCTCTCAGTTCAATACCCTCACCAAATGTGTCGTCAGCACCGTCCTGGGGAGCAAGGAACTCAAAACCCAGCAGAGAGCCAAAATCATCGAGAAGTGGATTAACATCGCTCACGTAATTGTCTTATAAAAAAATCTTTGTGTTTGGTAGATGGCCTTCCTGAGGCCCTGTGACTTCAGACCTGAGTTCTCAGACAGGAATCGCACTCTGTTGAGGCCCAGAATCTAGTCTATTGGAGCTGCTGTTCACACGCCACGTGACTAGCATCTAACACCGTGTGCAGAAAGGCACCGTCACCAAGTCATCGCTCTTCTACTGTATGAGTTCCTAATGTGTTTGAGTTCCAGTATTATATACTATAGGGCTATAGCAAGGTAGACCACTGTTGATTTAGCGGGACAGGAGTCGGATGACCCCCACCTGTGCAGGAGAGGGGTCAGCAATATGAATGCTATAGATGGGGAGGGAGAAAAGTTACCGCTGAGTCAGGTGATCAAGGAAGACCACAGGGCTGAAGTCAGCTTTCTCTATTGAAGGGTAGGATTCTAGATACTTGAAGATGAAAGCTTTCTCCTAGGCAAGAAAGAGCTACAGTCAAATGAAAAAATGGTTGTGAAATTAGTTGATATATAAATACCCTATTAGTCTATCGTGTTCTGGGCCATGGTTGACCCTCAACCAAAACAGAACACATTTTGCTTCACGTCCCATTAGACGTATTTTCCCACCATGCCTTGTTTATAGGGCACACCGCCTGAATCTTTCACATTTTCTTTTATTGTTTTTGACCAAAAAAGTGAAGCCACAAAAGTTCCAGAGAATTTGCCCCTTTTTGAGTCTTTAGGATGGCCTGTCACCCCACTCATGCTAGTGTCTGAGAGAAATAAGCAATAAGCAAAACACGGGAGTTGTAGAGAACTTACATCTCCCCTGTTCAAAGTCAAACTTATTTCTCCACAAAAAGTTTTGAGGGAATTTGACACTAGCGTGGGGGTGTCTCTTTCTTCTTAGAATTGTAAGAAAATATTTTTGCCACAACATTTATGTCTCAAAACTAATGGTCTTTAGGCCCGAATTCCTTGACCTACTTAGACAGCCAAAACACAGCATCCCTGTGTGTGGCGTAGTGTAACTCAAAGACTGACTTTGGTTGAAGTTAAATATAGATTGTGTTTTTATATGATAAAAACTCTGTGGATAACTCATCCCATAGCCTGTGTACAAAACCAGGAGTCTTTATCCTTGCTGTGACAATAGGCTTTTCCCCAGTGTTGAATGTGTTATGTCTCTTGAAATCGTGTAGAATAACTTCATAAAACGCTGAAACTCACAGGTGGTTTTCTGCCAGGATTTATTTTATTCTTCACTCATTAGTCACAGTTGATTTCTATTGAAAAAAAAGATTGAAAAATGATATTAATTTTACATGTAGAAGCGATCCCTGACCTAATATGGGTGTGTTTTCTTGGCCTGGCCTCTGGGCTGCATTTTTGGTTTTGCATTGCATCTTTTGGAATACGCCTCCTTTTCTGGAAACATGACTGGGTGCTTCATGTGTTCCCTGAAGCCCTTAGCCTCAGCCCGTTACTGAATAATGCGTTCCATATGTTTATTACGATGGACGTGATATATCAAGGCCTGGGTGTCTTTATTTATTGCAAGTTTCCTGATTTTTAGAGCATAACTTTGGGATGCTGAACCTTTGTTGAACCGTGCTGTCAGTGTGGTTTCCAGACAGCAGCAGCTCTATGCTCTCTCCCTCCCTCCCTCCCTCCCTCCCTCCCTCTCCTTCCTTCCCTTCCTTCCTTCCTTCCTTCCTTCCTTCCTTCCTTCCTTCCTTCCTTCCTTCCTTTCTTTCTTTCTTTCTTTCTTTCTTTCTTTCTTTCTTTCTCCCATCTCACCTTCCTCTTTCCATCCCCCTTCCCTCTCTTCCTGCTTCCCTTCCCCTCTCTCTCTCTCTCTCTCTCTCTCTCTCAGTAAAGGCGACATCAGGTCATTTTTAAAGGCTGGGCATGACTTTTATGAACTACATTGAAATTGACCCTGAAGAAAATGTTTGAGGGTTTAGTTGGCATGCAGGATTTTGTCATGCCAAATTGGAGAGTTCTATGTTTCCTCCATAGTGCAGATCAACAGTACTAAGCAAAACGATTCTTGAAGCAATTTGCGTTTCTGCCCAACTGCTCTGCCACGTCTTCCTGAGGTGTTCTCCCTGAAGCCAAACATGCTCACACAGGGTCCTCAGTTGTACATCCTGGAAAAAGTGCACTCCTGTGCACTCCTGTGTAAAATGTCCCCTCTGACATTTACCCAGTGTGGTCACCCCCAGGCCAGCCAGCAATGAGACCCTCTCCCTACTGTTTTGTAGGGTTTTTGTTTTCTGCCTCCAGGGTCACTGACTACCCACATACGGGCTTGGCGCCTTATGGTAGGATACATTTAAGCAAGGAGCCTCTCTCCTTGCCCAGAAAACACCCAGAATCTTTCCTGTTCTCTTTCTGTTTTGTTTTAAAACACTGCCAAAATGAAACTTATTTTAAAAGCCTGAGTTATTTTGAAAGCATTGAAGTACCAAGGTGTTTCTGAATGTTTACGATTGTGGGACAAGCCAATTTGAAACCAAATGAATGTGTATAAAAATATCCCCCCTTGGCTAAGAGCATGAAAGCCCAAGTTCAACTTGTGGTGAAGTTTTATTGCCAAGTTATATACACCTCGCAGGGCACGAGCTCTGTGTACCATCTGAACTTCTGTGGCTGCTGCCCAGCTCCCCCAGAGCCTACAGGGCACTGTGGTCCTCTGCATGGATTCCTAAGGCGTGTGTATGCTTCCTGCAGAAGAAAATGGCTTACCTCCTCTAGTTGTTTTTACTGGGAAAGCTGGAAGCTATAAAACTGTAACAACAACGCAAAAATATATTGGGGGGGGGGAACAAGCTTACCGTGCCAAAATCTATAAAGTGTTTTGGTGACTGGGGCGGGAGGAAGGAGCCACTTTTTGATGTCCGGTATTTATACAGCTGCCTATTTAGTGGTTAAGAATTCATAGCAGCTGGAATACCTCTAACACAGGAAACCAGCAGCCCACTGTAATACTGATATTTAAATGCCTTTCATGTCTTCTTCGTCACTCCCCATGCAGGAATGTCGAATCCTGAAGAACTTTTCCTCCTTGAGGGCTATCGTCTCTGCACTGCAGTCCAATTCCATCTATCGGCTGAAAAAGGCTTGGGCTGCTGTCCCAAAGTAAGTCCCCCAGCGCCTGCTCAGGTTTTTTCTGCCTGGGCGACCGGTTGCCACTTCCGTACTGTGGGTGCTTACCGTCAGAACACATATTATGTGACAAGAGAAACATATTAGGAACCCGTGTGTGTTCCAGGAAGGGTGCACTAATGAGTTTCGAGGGAGGGCTGCTGCAGGAATCACACCGATTCTCGGTGTGTGCCAGAACCGTGATTATCAACCCTGGGGATGATTTGAAGGGTGTGTCTGGATGTTGAGGGATGAGGTTGTGGAGGGATGAGGTTGGGCAGTTTGCGTGACTTCTTGTTATTTTCCAGCCTCATTCCAAAGCCCTAAGCTGCTCCAGGATGTGAGGGGTAACATGTGCAGTTGGGACCTTAGTTATTAATGGTTGATAGGAAGCGATTGTGTCCACTTCTGCTTCAGCATATTAAAAGCTGTCTTAGGTGAGGGGCACCTTTCACGGTGCCTGACTGAGATTATCAACTACTAACAACTATGCTATGTTTTCTTCATACTTCTTGGTCTGACCTTTGGAATAACTGGTAACACAGTGTTATCTTATTCTGTCACTGTTGCTGTTTCTGCCACTTCTGGAACTTTGATTGTGGACCAGAGACTTTTTTTTTCTCCCAAGGAAGGGACAGATTGTTCCCACATTAATTCAAATTTAGAGGGTGTCTTAGTTAAAGTTTCTACTGCTGTGATAAACCACCATGACCAAAAGCAACTTGGGGAGGAAAGGGTTTATTTCACCATACATTTACAAGTCCATCATCCAGGGGAAGTCAGGGCAGGAACCTGGAGGTAGTAGCTGGTGCAGAGGCGATGGAGGAATGGTGCTTACAGCCTTCTTTCTTGTACCATCCAGGATGACTTGCCCGGGATGGCACCCCCCACCGTGAATTGGGTGCTCGCATATCTATTATCAGTCAAGAAAATGCCTCCGTAGAATTGGCCTGTAGTCAAGTCTATGGGGGCATTTTCTTGATTAAGATCTCTTCTTCTCAGATTATTCTCGCTTGTGTTAAATTGACATAAAAACCAGTCAGCCTAGAGGGTAAGCCTTGTGTCGTGGGTACCAGTTGGGCTAGCTCCATCCAGATCTTCCCAGGTTTGAACTAGTGAGGCTGTCAAGGTGTATCAGGAAGTGTGGGAACTGCCTGTCTTCCCTGTATGCAGCGTAGTCAGTGTTGAATGGAGGGAAGTTAATGGACTCTCTAGCTATGGCTGCCCTACGTTTGTGCTCGAGCTGCAAGCCCTCCATGCTCAGTTCCATCATCAGCCAGAACTGATTAAACCCTGAGCAACTGACAATGTTTGTGTTCATAACTTGTCTGGTAACTGCTACGAAATACCCGACCAAAGCACCTTAAGGAAGAAAGGATTTATTTTGCTTTACAGTTCTAGAGGATATAGTAGGCGGGGCAGTAGGGGCAGGAAGTGGCTGGTCACCTTGTATCTGTAGTCAGAAAACAGAGCAATGAATGCTCGTACTGAACTTGGTTTTTCCTTTTTGTTCAGCCCAGGACTTCAGCCTGTGGAATGGTACGGCCCACCTTTAGGGTGGTGTCGTAGTTACTGCTCTGTTACTGTGAAGAAGAAAGCAATTTATAAAGGAAGACATTTCACTGGGGGCTTGCTTGCTTGCAGTTTCAGAGGATTAGTCCGTGGTCATCATGGCGGGGAGCATGATGGCTGGCATGTGTGGCTCTGGAGCAGTAGATGGGAGAGGGGGGATTGCATCTGGCATGGGCTTTGAAAGCTCCAAGCCCACCCATAGTGACACACCTCCTCCAACAAGACCACACTCCTAATCCTTCCTACACAGTTCTGCCAACTGCGGACCAACCATTCAAATGTATGAGCCTACGGAGGCCGTTCTGGCTCAGACCAGCACAGGCGGGGGTTTCCACCTCAACCATATCTAGACATATTTTTAGAAATATACTCAGAGATATATTTCCATGGTGATTCTAACCACCATCATGCTAGTCAATCCTATAAGGGCCCACATCGGCAAACCAGAGTATCCTAAGTTTATGCTGGGAAATGGGGTGCCAGGGGACTCAGGCTTACAGATGAGATGAGAAACAACTTTGATTGGTTAGGTAGTTCTTTGATGCTTTAATAAGAAGGAGTTAAAGTGAATGATAGTCCTAGCACACGGAAAGCAGAGGCAGGTGGACCTCTGTGGGTTGGATGCCAGCCTGACTGATATAGCAAGTCCCAGGCTAGCCAGGGCTGCATAATGAGACCCCGTCTTACAAAACAAATCTTTTTTTTTTAGGTTTTTCGAGACAGGGTTTCTCTGTGCAGCTTTGCGCCTTTCCTGGATCTCGCTCATCTAGACCAGGCTGGCCTTGAACTCACAAAGATCCTCCTGCCTCTGCCTCCCAAGTGCTGGGATTAAAGGCGTGCGCCACCACCGCCCGGCTTTTTTTTTTTCCACCCCCCCCCCCCCCACAAAACAAATCTTAATGTGCTTTGAGTTGCAGAGCCGTAGGAACCCAAACCTCCTGCACTGCGAAGCTTCAGCTGTGTCAGACCAAACGTGGAAGCGAGGCTCCCAGGCTCACGGCACTTTTCTTGACAGGCACTCTTGGTTTTCTGCCCCCTCCCCATTTTCACTGTTTTCAGGAGTGCCTATAACTCTGTATGAGAGAGATTAGTTGATTCCTTTCCTCGGAACATACATTTAAGGAAGGATATACAGGTCCTAAAGAATCACTGGGTGGCAGTCCCTGGTAAAGCAGGAGGGGAAACCAGAAGCCTACATCCTCCACCCCTTGACATCCCTTCCCTCCCCCATTACTATTCCACATAAACAAAGGAATGGTCAGATGTTAAAATCCAGCCTTGTCTGACGGCACTGGAAGATGACTGTGGCTTTCATTGCTGGTTGACTAGTACAGCCCTGTGGAAAGTCGCCCAGCTAGCCCAGGGTTTCTTCCGCAGCAGGTCTCAGTCTTAAACGACATGTTCAAAGGCTAGCGCACACGGGGGCTCGAGAGCTGAATGGTTAAGAGCAGTCCGTGCTCTTGTAGAGGGCCCAGGTTCAGGTCCCAGCACCCACGTTCATTTGTAACTTTAAGTCCAGAGGGCCACGTGCCTCTGGGCTCTGAGGGCACTGCACTAATACGCCTCACACACAGACACACATAAACACATAATGAAAGTCATACAAACAAATCTTTAAAATAATTCTCTACAGTACATGTGTGTTAGTTTCTTGGGTTGCCAAAGACAAGATCCATTCTTTCAGCTAGCTTTTAAAACAACTTTTCAAAAACAAAACAAAACAAAAAACAAAACAAACAAACAAAAAAAACCTGAATCCTGTTGGACATGTGTGATTTGTTGGTTGGTTTATGTTTTAGAAAGGAAGCCAAAGAATATCACTGAAGCCCTTTCCATACCAGTTTTATGTGTTCTCCATGGCTAAATTCAGGGAGGTGGAGTTAAGATATCTTGTTTAGTAACCACTTTTATTATAATCCTTTACATTTCTAGTTTTCAGTAGACAGAGGCCGCCTACTTATTTCTTTCTATTGAAATACTTGCATAATTAAGGTCTTAATTGTTTTCTCCAAAACAGAAATAGCTTTCATGGTTGGGTATACAAATATTATACTTACTGTAATGCAAATAAGTCTTAATAATGGCCTTTTTATGATAATAAAGATGTTGTATACGTGGGGATTTGGCTGCTAATCATTTGCGGCCTTCAGAGTCATCCATTCAGTGACTGTGGAAAGAGGTGTATACAGACAAGCAGGGTGCTCTTGGGGGAGTGCCTGGGAGGGGCATGGGCCTCATAGTGCTTTACATGTCATGCTTCAGTGGTTTTCCTATGTACAGATGAGAAAACTGAAACATAGCAAAGTTAAGCAACTTGTCCAAGATCCTCAGTGAGGAAGTTAGTAGGTTTGAACCCGTCCCCCATGGCTGTAGAACCCATCGTGGTTCTCCCAGTCCACTCTGACTCTGAGAATAGGAATACGGGCCCAGGATGCAGAACACCTGGGTTCTGTGTCTGCAGCTCTCAGCAGTTACTAGTGAAAACCAGGGCAAACACGGCCATGACATCCTTCCTTCTAAACTTAGGTGTCTGGCCAAGATGACCTCTGCAGGACTCTGTGTATTATCAAGATAAATGCTTTTTAAACTAACGTAAGGGAACATCTCTCTAGAACTTGATGCCTCAAGTGAATTATCATTTTTTAATTAAATGTGGTAGACTTAGAACAGCTCCTCCTATCACTTGGGTAGCCGTGTTCATCTTTTACAGAAGCTGTCTGCATGAGGACACTCATTAGCTCCATTTGTGTTACATTTCCCACAATCCTGAGGTTCAAACGGTCTTTTGTGGCACTGCGTACTGAAGACAGCTAAGCTTAGGTGTCGGATTTTTGCTATCTGTTGTTTATTTTTTCTTTATCTTTCTTCATAGGGACCGAATGCTGATGTTTGAAGAACTTTCAGATATCTTCTCTGATCATAACAACCATCTAACCAGTCGGGAACTGCTAATGAAGGTGAGGCTCCTGGGCAGCCCTGAGGGGACTCTGGGAAAAGCGACTTGGAAGCTACTTACATCCCTTCAGCCTCCCAGGGAAGCAGAATTTTTATCTTATATACAGTCTAGGAAACATGGGACTGAGAGAATTCAAAGCCCAATTGAGCTTTCTCTTTCCACCTTTTCCTTCTTCCCACCCACACAATTGAATCAAAACCAGGGTTCATATGTGTACGTCTTTAACAAGCAGCTACTCAGCGCTGGCATTTGTGTGAATGAGAGGCCTTGGAATAGTCCTTCAGCAAAACAGCTCTTATAATGACAGAGGCCAGCCTGCAATCCCACATCCTTTTTTTTTTTTTTTGACCAAATTGCACAATATTTTTCAGTCAGCAATGTTTTATTGAGCACCAGATAAGTGGCGACGCCTGAACTGCTTGCTAGGCACAGGGACAGCCTGGCTCACTCTGCTTCTTTAGAAATGTGTCGAACGCCTAGTATTTATAAAACATGGAACTTGTCTTTAGAAATATGAAGATTTATAACGCAGCCTGTGTCGAGGAGTTCACCGTAGTTGAGGACTGTGGACACTATACAGTAATTACCCACATAAAGACAGGTAACTGTACACTCACTAGGGAGTTAATACAGGCCAGGTACTATCTTCATAGCTGTCTACCATCTCAGTTTTGTCTTCTTTGTTTTATAGAGAGCCAAGACCCATAGGTGGATGTAGCATGGCCCAATCCTAAGCTACACACCTAACAAGTAGTGTAGCTGAACTGTGAATCCAACTTAGAGACAGTCAGAGACCTGTGCTTTGTTTCCCTGATGCCTGGTGCAATGCCTTGTGTGACGTACCTACACAGAAACTGTTGTTTGACTGCGTGGATTCGTGGGCTTGTCAATCACATAACTGTGTTTTTCCTGCTCTGGTTCCTTGGAGTAGATGATGTAGGGTGGGCAGGCAGTTTATGCCGGTGCCCGACTTTGGCTTTGGCTACCTGATGAACTGCACACTAAACAATGATTCCTGTGACTGTATTACTCCTTGTTTATGTCTTTCTAGATTCGCAGACTTTAAGTGGAAACCCATCTGGCTGGAAGGACATGGCTTAGCGGCCTCCCAGTCTGCAACACAGAGCTAGACTCACTGGAGCCACGCACTGAAATCCCAATAGCCCTGAATCATCCTTCCAAGGCAGATAAATTGAATTGTGTGCAGCTCATTGCCTAGTGACAGTCTTCTGGCTGAAACCTTAGATGCAGGCTATATCTAGACATTAAAGATCCCATAAACCTTTCTCAAATGGAGACATCCACCTCAGTACTCTGAGTTAAATGTCACATAAGGCTCCAGTCCCAGTGAACTGAAAAACTTGGCGATGAGTTCAGGTGGCCTGTGCATTGTCATGAATGCTGGTGGAATGCTTTGGGCAGGCCATGTGTGTGTGTGGATCCCTTTACCATCATCTCTGTTGATCATTATTCATGTGAAGTGTATAGTTCTGGGTGTAACTTCTCAACACAGTTGTAAATAATGAGATCAAGGTACTTAAGATCTCAAAATAAGTGCTAAGAAAAACTACTGGGCCCTGTCTCTAATATGTTACTCCTAGACTTTGCTTTATAGTTGGGTAATCTTAGTTTAAAACGACCTGTCTTCTACTTCTGGGTGAATGTAACATGCCACTTCTCTACTATTATGACCCAGACAGTATAATACTTAGTAAACATTGTGGTTTTCCTTCTAACTCTTGAGAAAATATTTTTTTAAATTTCTTTTCAAAGACTGTCTTAAATTTATGATTTTTAAACCTTATGATTTCTGAAACTTAGAATAATTACAAATCATTGAATCTATAGATTTCAAAACAACAGAAAGCAAAATACCACCAAATTGTGGTTCTTGTGACTCTTGGTGGTTGACAATTATCTCTGGTTGCTTTAATATAAACTTCTTCTAAAAAAAAACCTTCACGAGTCTGGCTCTGGTGGAAATGAATGGTCAGTGAAATGCTACAAGATGTTAATATCAAGGTCAGAGCAAGAGGCCATTCACACTGCAAAACCCCATCCAAACAAAAGTTTCCGGTAGCTTCTGAGCTGCAATTTCACCATCATATCTTAAAATTGAGCCAGAACCCAGCAGACAAAGTAACTGGAGACCTCGCAGAAGTCTCTCTGAGGCCCTGGAATAACATGAGTGCAGCTGGATTCTGCAAAAGTAGAGATACAGGGAAAGTGAGACAAAGGGGAGAGACTCATACTAGGGAGAAGGTCAGTGGTGGAGAGGGCAGGAGGAGCGGGGGTCGGAGTGAGAGGTTGGAGGAAGTACATGGAGAAAATTGAAATCCACTGGCACAGAGGTGACGGTTGAAGTCATTTCCGACGACACAAGTCTGTTGGAATACAAGATGACTTGGGAAGAGGGAAGAGTAGCCGAAAGTCTGAGTGTGAGCCGCGAAGGAGGCAGGAGGGAAGAACCAGAGTGGTGCATTACAGGAGCCCACGGATGGTTGAGGGAAGTTCACCGCGATGGTGTGGTGGGATGGCAGTGTAAAGAACTTCAGGCCAAGGGAGGAAATGACTGCAAATAGTGATATGACAATTGAATGGATTTCCAGTTGACATTCCAGCGGGAAGACCTAGCAGTGACCAGTCACCTCTTTCTTCTTTGTCCTTACCCTTTTCTTAGACACTGTGATGAGGCTAACCCTGAGTTTACGGGGTAGCCCAGGCTGGCCTTGACCTCCCAAGTGCTCAGATATAGGAGTGTACTGCCCATGCTGACTGGTCACCTTTGTGGTAGGGCCGCAGGAATGGACTCTCACTCTCAGGAAACCAGGAAGTTATGAAATCAACAACTCTGGCTCCTCCTCTCTGGCCTTCTTCTCTCCTGCTCCTAGGAGGGAGTCTTCAGTGCTCCTTAAGATCCCTCTGTTGGTTTTCATAAACCTTAGGTTTAACTTTTTAGAATTCTGAATAAGTATCTTAGATAAGCAGGGCATGGTGTAACATACTGAGTCCTGGCACTTGGGGGGCAGAGGCATGTGACCCTCTGTGGGGCCAGCCTGTTCCATAGCAAGTCCCAGGCTAGCCAGAATTATACCTTTAAACTCTGTATTTAAAAAAAACAATAATTTTAGACAAATCTGAAATAATTCCCAGCGCTCTCCCTCTACCCATAATTGAGGTTCTGGAAGAAGTTATACATTAAGGAGAGGTTGCTGCTTGTCTTCATGTCGGGCAGAATTGATTTCTCACTCCATTCTAGGTCCTTAAGGACCTGGGAGTGCTTGTCACCACCTGGTATGGGAAGTGGCACAGGCTAGACTACTGTCGTGAGTCCCCAGGAAATCTGTGTGGATGTCATTGGGTGACAGCTCCGGCCCCTCCCATCTGTAACAGGGACTACTGAGATGGATTCTGTGCCCCAGTGCACCCCCCAGACAGGATCCCAGCTGGTTAATGGTAGAATGTATCTATGCCTTGGCACTGTCAGTCAGGTGCTGACACCCAGAAAGATTCCTTTTGTAATTGTAAGGTAATATAAGGTCACATGCTTATAAGGCAATCAACCCAGGAGAAACTGACTAAGGAAAAACTAGTATAGAGTTCACACTGAATTGCAAAACCTTCCATTCATGCAGTTCCTGGAAAATGAAAACTTAACAAGACCCTGAAACCACAAAGCTGAAACATTTTATGTTCAGTCAGCAAACCCATGATTGGTTGTTACGTCGAAGCTGGGTTCTCGTGCCAGGGAGCAGGCAGGGAGCTTGGGTGGCCATCTGTCCTCAAACCCCAAGAAGAAGGGTGGACTTGTAAGAGTTCCAAACTGGAGAGACATCACAGGGGGACTGAGGAAACCCTGCAAATGACCCACCTTTCAGTAATTGGGATGTACCCTAACACTGGACTTCCTCAAAATCTTGCTGTGCAAAGGTTTCATTTGGCAAAGAAGTACCACACAATCCCCTTCCTTCACGGAATGCTGGCGCATTCATTCCAGGCCAAGAGAAAGAAGTCAAAAAATGTTCAGGAAGACAGCTTCATTTCTAAGACATAAGATTACTTGGAATGAAACCCAGGATATGTGTAAAAACGTCTCTCATTTTGGGAATCACCCATCTTGTGTTGATGATTGATTTTCTAGTGAAATTAGGGACCCTGCTTTTACAGAGGTGGGGGGTAGGGTAGTATAATCGCAGACCACCACTTGCAGAGGCTAGTCTGTAGCAAGGCCCCCAAGCACAGCCATAACACAGCCTGAGGGCCTGCAGGAGGCCTCTTCATTTGCATGGCATCTTGGGACTCAGGAAGAGATTGTGTTCCAGAACCTAGACACGTCTTTCCTTCTCTCCCGGTTGGTATCCTCCATGACTCTCCTCTATGTACGCTCGCTCTGCTTCTTAGGAAGGAACCTCAAAATTTGCAAACCTGGACAGCAGTGTGAAAGAAAACCAGAAGCGGACCCAGAGGCGGCTGCAGCTGCAGAAGGACATGGTATGTCTGCCCCTGTTCCCTGGCAGGCGAGTGGCCCTGTGAACTTGACTGGGCAGCTGGCATATGACCCCAGCGTCTTCCGTCTGCAGGGCACCCACACTTGTCAAAGGTCTCTCCCATTCTTTGCCTTAACCTGGGAGGTTTTTAGCAAAAGTGTTAGACCCAGTGAGAAATGAATACCAAGAGGTGCAAATTCCACATAGCACCCCCCCACACACACACCAGATGATGGTGTAGGAAAGTGTGCGGTGGGCGTGTCCCCATCCCTCTTGCCATCCCCCTGTCCCACTCTTAAACTAGCATGCTGGACCACTTTGCTCAGAAGCCTCCCAGGCTTTCCACCTACATCAGCTCTGAGTATGTAATGGCCGAGGAAAGACATTGTCTCCTGCTAGGAAGGTTGGTCTTGGTATTTAGAGATCATCATTTCATTTGTTCCCAATCTCCCTAATCATTACCTAGCTCTCCTTGCTAATTCTGGGTCCTAACCGGATCTAGTTCAGTTCTGAGAATCCCATGCCTCCTCTCTGAAGGCAGAGGGACAGCTATCATCATCTTTGGTTCTGTCCTTAAATCCCCAGCTCTTAGCAGAGGGTATGGGGACAGAAGGGGAGATTAGAGACTAGACAAATGAATATTCTCACCCTTGCCTGGCGAGAACTTTCCTTAGGACTGGACATAAATCAGTAATATTTGTTTTTTGAGTACGAGAACTCCTCTGTAACCTAAAGCTGATCAAACTCAAGAGTGTTTCACATTTTGGGGTTGTTGAAAGACAGTTAAAAATAGCGCTAGGGAGGGTATTTTAGTTCAGGATAAGACCTTGTACACATGATGGGGAAGGACAAGCTCAAGTAGAGCTGACAGTAAGTTTCCGAAGGACAAAGTCCTGCATGGTGTGAACTGGCTGAGGACATGGCCTGCCTCGTGCCAAGTGGCCTGGGCTTGCCCTGCCTCAGACTTTGTATTCCTGCCAGAATTTCCCTAACTGCATATATAAGAAGGTGTCCGTGCCCGCCTGCCCACCATTTATTTTCCCTGTCGAGTACGTGTACCTCAGTGGCCTTGTGGAGAACAGAGATAGTTTCAAATGAGATCTCATGAGATGAAAGTAAAAATCTTGACTCACTTCTCCCCACTTTTTTTTTTTGAGACAGGGTTTCTCTGTGTAGCTTTACGCCTTTCCTGGAACTCACCATAGCCTGGGCTGGCCTCGAACTCGCAGAGATCTGCCTGCCTCTGCCTCCCGAGTGCTGGGATTAAAGGTGTGCGCCGCCACCGCCGCCTGACATTTCTCCCCACTTTTAACATTGTCTATAACGGTGCTATAACAGGCATTCCTAAGAAATGTACACTGACAGAGTCCTGTCAGTTAAAACCGGGACCTCGCTTGGAATTCACCTCTGTTGTTCTAGGACTCGGTCCAGCATACCAGCAGCGCTTAGCTGTCATGATTTTCTAATCACTTCTGGTCCATGGCAGCTTCAAAGTCTTAACTTGTTTGTCATGACCTCGGCGGTCATCAGGAGTACCACCCAGGAGTCCTGTAGAATGCCCCACAGTCTGAGTTTGTCTTTGTTTGTCTAGTGATTAAACTGAGGTCACACCTGCTTGGAAAGAATTTCCCAGAGATGAAATACCCCTCTTGTCACATCCTGTCAAAGAGTTATGTGGTTTCAGCGTGGCATCTGCTGTCATGTTGCTGGTGTCCCTGATGATGAGACCACCACTAACTTGGTTAAAGCACAGTTTGCCAAATTAGCCTGTGTGAAGTCACTTCTCTCTCTCTCTCTTTCTGAAGGCGACTCACTAATAGGGATGGCCCATACGCCTCTCACTGGGAAATAGTGGTCTGTTCTTAATGATGCTGGGCCATGGCTCTCCAGGGCATTCCAAACAACTGGAAGTGTCTGCACACACTGAAGAGAGCAGACCCCACTGCCCAGAGCCTGAGCACAGTAGACCCCACCGTGAACATACTTGTACGCGTGTGTGATCTGGTTAGAGGCTTGCTTTTCCTGAATGAAAGTTAGACATTAGGTCATACAGTTCCTGTCCTGTTTACGTAGGGCTTTAAAACAATTCCAGTCCTACAGGAGACACTAATGACTCCAAATTAGTCTTGCCCAGGTCTGTTTTCTCTGGTGTGTGGGTTACTGAAGCCATTGAACATTTCAGTGACAGTAAAGACATCCCTGCTCTGACTCCTTTCCAGGGTGTGATGCAGGGTACCGTACCTTACCTGGGCACCTTCCTGACTGACCTGACCATGCTGGACACTGCTCTTCAGGACTACATTGAGGTGGGTTCTCTGTAGCTGCCTGCACCCGAGTCAGTTCTGCACAGCCCAGCCTGCAGCCTTCTTCTTGGCTGCATGGAGAAGAAGTTTGTTTCTCTCAGTATCTGTATAGAGCCCACAGTGCACATGGCAGTAGGCTGGGCAGTGGGAGAGCAAACCAAACCAAACACTAGAAGACGCCAGAAATGCCGCAGAGGCCAGTGAAAGGAATCACCGCCTCCCGAAACAGGCAGCCATGATAGAAGTGGTAGCCGTGTGAGCAGAACACAGTGAAAGGCAAGGGAGCATGTTAGATGATGGAGCATGGTCAGGGCCACATGAAGACACATGGTTAAAATGCCTTTTGAGGGGTGGGGTCTGAGCGTGGGGCCTGCGGATGGACTTGAAGGGACAGTACACCCCAACTCTCTGCCTGGAGAGTAAAGAATGAACCAGACTAAAGAGTTTTCAAGTAGGTCCTTATTCCTTTGTAATTATTGCGTAACCGCCACCTGTTCTGGAGTGTGCACTTGGATCGACCCACTGTCTTTCCTTTGCAGTGAAGACAGGTAGATTCCACTCAAACAAGCAGCCTGTTATTAGCAGTAATAAAATATTAGGTAGAAAGGATTTTATATTTGAAGTGAGATTTAAAGGTATTTGTGGGGTTTTTTTGTTTTGTTTTTGTTTTTTCGAGACAGGGTTTCTCTGTGTAGCTTCAGTGCCTGTCCAGGATCTCACTCTGTAGACCAGGCTGGCCTCAAACTCACAGAGATCCTCCTGGATCTGCCTCCTGAGTGCTGGGATTAAAGGTGTGCGCCACCACCGCCCAGCGAGATTTAAAGATATTTGTAGGGCTCAACTTCTAACTCAGAGCCCTTGCCTCTCATGTCCTGGTTCAGTTCCTAGCAATGCCTAATAACCATAAACAAGTCACAGACAAACCTAAACACAGCACGCTCCAAAACCAAAGCAGCCTGCATATGTCCACTGCTTCTCCTCTGCAACCTGCTTTGCATGGACTGCAGCTAGAAAGGGAGCTGTTTTACATACTTGCAAGTTTTCTCTAAGTGGTGTAGACATGCTCGTTCACTTTGCATGTCCTCTGCCTCAGCTTATCTCAGGAAACACCCGTCCATACTGAGGAACTGCATGGGCTGGGCAAATACTGAGAACTTAAGTTTACCCTACTGAGAATAGGGATGGTGGTGATGACGAATCGAAACTTCATTTCCATGGTGCTGTGAAGACTTCCCTTATAATAACCCATTGACAGTTTGGCTTCCAGCATGAGTCAGTGGCCTCTGTGCTTGTTGCGTTGGGTCGAGGGGACGAGTGGAGTGCACTTCTGCTCTTCACTGGCTTGGCAAGTGTGCTGGATTCTGACTCAACGTGCTTTATCATTGTTACTGTAGTTAGTTTCAGTTGGTTAAGAGATGGCTGCCCACCATGCCCTGTCATAAATGAACATTTTTCTCCCAGGAAAAGATGATTGTCTTCCTCTGTAGTTGCCATGTTAATAAGATCATTAATAATTACAAGCCTGTCACCCTTTGACCTGTGTAGTGTGACATGTGACCCACAGCAGCCCAGGGCTCTGCGGTGTGGTTGGTTATGTTCTTCTAAACGTTTCTTTCAGGGCGGACTGATCAACTTTGAGAAGCGGAGAAGGGTGAGTAGCTCCTGCCTGTGCTTTGCCGTTTTATTTCGTTTGGGCATGAGAAGCTGAAAGACGGGGAGACGAAGTTTGTTCTTCCGTTTGCTTTTGGAGAGGCAGAAAAATGATACTCATTGAACGTTTCAGTATATCACTACGTTTGGCATGTCCCTTACATCGCTCCACGAGAGCCCTGCAAGGTCTTTTCCTTCATCTTCAGTTAACGGTGAGGATGGAAGAGACTGAGGAGCTGGTCCAGAGTCAGCTGGGAATGAGCCCGAGTTCAGATTTTGTCCAGCTGCAAAGCTCATTAATAAATTAGAGGTAGTGTAGAGCTGGGCGCACAGCACAATGGGAGGGCACCTGGCCTAGATGCATAAGGTCTTGCCTTTGATCCTTAAAACATGCATGCGCGCGCGTGTGCTCGCGCACACCCCCCCCCACACACACAGAGACAGCGAGAGATTTCTTTCCTTACCCCGTCTCATCTCCTTCTTCACAGCTACTTTTAGAAAAACAGGTTTACTCTATAGTTAGTAATAATGTATTATGCATATGAAAATTATTGCTGAGAATAGATTTTGAATATTCTCCTACAAAGAAGTATGTGAAACACTTAATATGTTAGTTAGCTTGATTTAGTCATTCCACAGTGAATACCTACCTATTCTAAAATATCATGTTGTGTACAACTTGAATATATGCTTCTCTCCGACACCGAGACAGGGTTTCTCTGTGTAGCCCTGATTGTTCTGAACTAGCTCTGTAAACCAGGCTGGCCTCGAACTCACAGAGATCTGCCTGCCTTTGTTTCCCAAGTACTGGGATTAAAGGCGTGCACATCCCTCCCCAACATATCATTTTTTGTCAGTTAAATAGAAACAAGTTCATCTATTAAGGAAATAGGTTTCTAAGAGTGAATGACATTAATAAAGATAATTAGTAGACTCCTGTGGATCTGTCTGGGTGAGGAAAGGACATAGTCAGTCTTCTCCATTAGATGGTTATCTTTTATCATTCCTGTCAGTATAGGAAGGATGTTCTATATCATACTTAAATCTTTCTATGGATAGAATAGTTCTGCACTACGTTTTTTTTTTAAATGTACATTTTGCTATAATTTTTTTAGCAGTCCATCGCCTTAACCACTCGGCCACCTCATCAGAGCATAAATTTTGCTATACTTTTTGTGTCAAATGGACATGAGCTAGGCATTTGAGTGCGTGAAAGGAAACTGAGTGAGTGCTGTACCTGCCCCGGAATGTTTCACTCCCTTCCATTCATCTGTCCGTCCTTCCATCCTACCAGTACTGGTTATGTACCTACCAGGGAGCTCGGAAACTTCTGCAGCGGGAAACCAGAGCTCCCTACCCTCCTGAAGTCCACAATCCAGGAGGGAGCCAGGCAGATGAGCAGGCAACCATACTTCATCTTTGTCCAAGCTCAAAGCAGAGGTGGGGGGTCTTAGAGAAGCACATAGGAGAGGCCAGACAACAGCGCAGGAGCAGACCGTGGTGCTTGATGCAGACGTGGTGTGGAGCAGCTGGCCAGGCTAGGCTCCTTAGCAACAAGGTGCCAACATGGACCCACAGGAGCTCTCTGTCCCTCATCCACTGAACCTTCTGTGGTATGGTGGTAAATATTCCTTGACAGCGCCGGGGAAGGGATGAGACCACCGATGTGAAGTCACTTCTGTCCTGACCTGTTAGGCCTCCACGATGCCCATGCTCGGTTCTTTAACTTCAGCATAAACCTGGAAACGACGTTCTTTCCTTTTAAGACTAAGATGTTAAACATTTTCCGAGTTTGAGTATGAACCCTGAAGCTACAGTTTGTCCTCACTGCTGACATTAAGGAAGGGACCTTGAAGCATGTGCAGACGTCTAAATAATTTTGGACATAATCATGTACATGCTTCTCTTGTGAGCTGCAGAAGGTTAGTTAAATGATTTACTGGAGTAGTAAAGAACCCACGGATTTGGACAACCTAAACACTAAGGTTTATGAGACCCGTACTGTTTAGATGGTCAGCCCACCAGTGCATAGTTATTGGGGGAAAAAGGTTGGAGAAGTGGCTGCAGATGGGGGGCTGTGGCTTCTTCCCTGGAAACATTTCCCTCCCTCCCTCCCTTCCTTCCTTCCTTCTTTCCTTGCTTCCTTCCTACTTTTCTTCCTTCTTTCTTTTTTTAAAGAAATTGAAGTAAAATGTTCTTATGTATTTCATCAATATTATACTTAAAAGAAAAAATCCCAAGAATGGAAAGAGGAAGGAAAAGGCGCCATTATAAATTGAGTTGGTGACTAGTTGGACTTCTTTTGAGGGCTTGTTTTAGTCATATGAATTCTTTTTGCAAGGAGAAAAGAGCATTAAGAATCGAAACATAAAGGACTGAAGGAGTTTGAAGTGATATATATGTGTGTTTTTAGATTTATTTTTGTTTCCGGTACCAACCAGGGATTAACCCAGGGTGTTATGTATGCCAGGCACACACACTACCACCAAACTACATCCCACCCCTGAGTTAGAGCTTCTAAGATTTATTCATTTCCTCTCTAAAGCAGCAGGATTTTTTCAATGGTTTTACCCTTAAGGTGTTATGGTTCCATGTTGAAAAGCTTTCCATGGTTGCATCTTTTTTTTTTTTTTTTTTTGGTTTTTTGAGACAGGGTTTCTCTGTGTAGCTTTGCGCCTGTCCTGGAACTCACTTGGTAGCCCAGGCTGGCCTCGAACTCACAGAGATCCACCTGGCTCTGCCTCCCAAGTGCTGGGATTAAAGGCGTGCGCCACCACCGCCCGGCCACCATGGTTGCATCTTATTTATTACCCAGTCTCCTTTTCATTTTCTGTCTCTTTTAGGAATTTGAAGTGATTGCCCAGATAAAGCTCCTACAGTCTGCTTGCAACAGCTATTGCATGACCCCAGACCAGAAGTTTATCCAGTGGTTCCAGAGGCAGCAGCTTCTTACAGAGGAGGAGAGGTAGGGCTGATCTGTCTGTCACCTGTCAGGGAAGAACTGGGGTTCTGGCAAGAGGACTGAGGAGGCCAGGACCTTGTTGGGTCATCTCTTCAGTGGCTCTTGGGTAGTTGTTCTAGGGTCCCGGGTCCTTGGTTTTCAGAGGGAAGCTGAATGGACAGGACTAGTGAATGGGTTTTTAAGTCCTACCCCGCCTCTCATCTTTGAAAACTTGAACGACCCTTTATTCTTCTTTAACTTCAGGATGCCTGTTTGTAAAATGTTTGTTCTAAACATAAAATCATATTCTGAAAAGCACTGTTAGAATGCTAATCATGCTTGTCATCGTACTACCACTGCCGTTGTGGGAGTTCACAGCGTTAGCTTTCAGGGAGAGAGGAGGGGGAGAGGAAGAGGAAGAAGGAAGGAGGAGGAGGAGGAGGAGGAGGAGGAGGAGGAGGAGGAGGAGGAGGAGGAGGAGGAGAAGAGCCCATGAGAAATTAAAATGTGGGAGTAACTGAAGTGCTGTGGAACCTATGGCCAGGAGCAGTTCATTGATGAGGAGTGGTGGGGGATGGGAATGATTGACAGTAATTACCAAGTAGGCTGGACTGTGAAGAGAGATTCCACCAGAAGAGCCAGAGAATATTCCAGACAGAGCAAGACAGGGACATGAGCAAAGGCCTGGTGTCCTGCAGGCTTGGTGTTTGGAGGGCAGTGGTGCCTCTGGGGTGGGTGGGGCCCAGGGCCCAGGTTTCAAACACTGGCTGGTGTGCATGGAAATGCACATCGAGTCTAGCTAGTGCTGTGAATACTGGACGAGCGGGCTAGGACCTTCCCTCTAGTCTGGTGGCCATATGTGGCCTGCTGCCTGGTTTCACATTTTAAGTGTCAGAGGGAAAAAAATAAAAGAAGAAGAATTTGGCATGAGATAGCTATTTGAAATTCAAATTTCAGGATCCATAAATATCACTTTAACGGAATATAGCCCATTCATTTACATCATCTTATCTATGGTTGCTCTCAAGCATTAGAGACAGACCATATGGCCCACAGCCTAAAATACTTACTATCTGATCCAATTCAGAGAAAGTTTGCTGGTCGCTGAGATAGACCTGAGATTTTCTTTGAAGATTTATCATAAGGCAGAGTGACATGGATAGCCACATAAGTATTTGCCAATGAGGACTGAGGTCTTTGAGGGATGCTATAGCGAGTTGTGACGGGCCTGCCAGATTACCACCTCAGCTGTGAGGTGGTTGGATGATGGACATCATGACCCGCCTACCCACTCACCAAGTAAGTACCTGTGCTAGGTACAGCTCCAGGCTTTCACAAGAAGCACCTCAAATCCGAAACTTCCTTTGGGCCTCCGCATTGGTTACCGTTTGCCTGGCATACCAATATTTGAAGCCGGGGCATTTTTAATTGAGGAGGTTTTGGCAATTGCAGATAAGGTTTGTAGTTATAGTTATGTATCTTTATAAATAATATAATTGCTTATATCTGTTCACCGAAGGTTAGATATTTTACAAAAATACCGTCTTTCCTTTTCCTAACATAAAAATATGTGCACGTGCACATAAACGCAAGCACATTGGAAGGAGGAAGCAGGAAAATGGTGGCGGGGCTCATTGAGGGAGGAAGAGTCTTCCTCTGGCTTTGCGGTGTGATGAGGATGATCACGGGGCAGGCTGCAGTCAGCGTATGGTGCTGCTGGTGTCACCGTCCTCGTGTTGAAGCCTGCAGAACTGTCCATCTGCCCGTGAAAGGAGTAAGGAGAAGGAGCATGCAGTGCAAATGTATCAGATGTGCCCATGAGCAAACACCCTCCGGCGTTCACGCCAGAACACCACTGTCTACAGCTTTACTTGGAATATCCAGAGCCTTCCTCTAAATCCAATATTCCAGAAAATCACATCCGTTGGGAATCTGTTCGGTGCTTAAACTGACCTCAGACCTGCCCTGTCTTCCCAGCTATGCCCTCTCCTGTGAGATTGAAGCAGCTGCCGATTCCAGCACCACCTCCCCCAAGCCTCGGAAGAGCATGGTGAAGAGGTTGAGCCTGTGAGTCCCACTACCCGCCCCGCCCATGGGGCCTGGCCCTGAGAGGGTCCTGTCAGAGTCGGGAGAGGATACCCAGCACTGAATGTTCACTTAAAGAATGTGTTTTCTGTCATGACCGCAAAAGGCCCATTACATCCATCCATTCCTCTCCCCTTCCTCTAGGATGAACCCCTGTCATCTCACACCTGGACCACTCCAGCAGCAGTGGTCTGTCTGTCATCTGGCTGTCCTCTTGTCCCGTCAGTTCGTTCTCTACTAATAGCCTGGTGATCCTTTGAACAACAGATTATTTCACTTTTTAAAAACACCCAATGGTTTTATTTTGAAATGAAGTCTCAACTCTAGGTCCTCGTTTACTAGGCCTTATGTGATCTACTCCCAGATTTCCTTCTCTTACAGCACTTGCCTTGGTTCACCAAGGTCTGCCACATCAACCTTCTAGCCAACCTTTAAACACATCAGGCTGTTATCTTTACACTAGCCCTTGCCATGGCTTGAAATGGCATTTTTCCTGGATGTTGGCAAGAATGGTTATCTCCTAAGAGACACCTTCTGAAAGTGCTGTGTACTCTGGTCATCCTCATTTGTGCTGACCTTTTCAGTTTAGGGTGAGCAGTATTACAGTAGAAACAGTGTCCATCAGGTGTGGTAGATGAAGAGGCCTTCTGTGGCCAACTTTGTGAGACCTCACTCCATCTGGATAGAATCCAGAGACCTTGGAATATCTACAGGACCCCAATGTCCCACAGCATCAGCACCACCCCGACAGCCTGTCCCCATCTGTCTGTCCTCATCTTTCCCTGTTCACACTACCCTATGCACTCCAGTTGCCTTAAGACCTCCCCGCACACACCAGGCAGTCATTCCCAGTTGTCTTTGTTCTGCTGACTCGTCTCCCAAAGAGCCACCTGGCTCATTCTCTGCCTTCCTTCAGGTGTTTGTAGAAATGTCACCTTGACAAGCTTGTTGACTACCATAGCCCTTCCACACTATCTGTCCTTGGTTGTCCTCCATCTTCGTTTCCTCCATCACGTTTACCTTCATCTAACATACTGTATACTGTATGTGTCTGCATAGAATCTGAGCTCCACGAAGGGAAGCCTTGTTTTTATTTGTTGCTCTGTTCACAGCATCTAAATGCTGCCACACACACCGTAAGTGAATAGTGAATACTTAGAATGACTGAAATAAGCCAGCCACTGGGGCTGCTGTAAGGACAATCCATGTGGTTGTAGAATCTACAAACATGATCTAGGAAGCAGTTTCTGTGATCAGCTCCAATCACAGAACAAGAAACTGAAGTGTGGAAAAGGTAGATCATGTGCTTGTGATGGGAGGCTCTGGATGCAAACCTAAGATTCGGCTCAGAGTTAAGTTCATAGATGCTTTACGCACAGTGACCTGTGAAATTATATTCTGAAGGAAGAGAGAGATGGAAGAGTTAGAGGGAGGAGGGAGAGCCAGAGGAGGAAGAAAGGGAATAAAAATATTGTTCTTTAGACCCTGGTCTTTGGCTGGTCCAGTTTCTGGAGTATGACTGAGAACCTCCTCTGCTCCATAAGGTTCATCTTTAGACTCTAATTCCAGGAAGCTTCCCTCCCATACAGATCCCTTGGTTTATAAACCTGAGTCTCATCTTTTGGGTGACACTATCTGCGTTGGCCAGGGCCAAGCAAGAGTAGCCCTTAGGGATAGTGGTCAGTTTTCCCGGGCCAACTGGTTCCCCTTGACACGCCCCAACCCCACCAACCGCCATGCAGACATCTTGGCTCTTGTTTCTGATGTGAGGGTGTTATGCTTCCTGGGCCAGTGGATTTTTGTGGCTCACCAGTTCTGGAATGTTCTCAGCCACTGTATCTTCCTGCGTTCCCTTTTCCAGTCTCATCGTCTTCCGATCTGACACACGTGCAGGACTGTCCGCTGTTTTCCCTGTGTCCTTCAACCTCTGTTTCTGTATCTATTTATCGATGAAGATTTCTGAGGATTTTTTTTCCCAGATTTACTCGCGATTTTTTTCATAATTGCTTTCTTTAACAGTTATTTAACCCTACTGAGTTTTTAATTTTGATCACTATACATTTCACTTATATATGATTTTTTTCAAATTCTCTTTTTTGTTGGAGTGGCCTTTCTCTGAACAGATTTAAATTTTTCTTATGTCTTTAATATTTTAAAATACACTCATAAAGCTTGGCCTGTGGTGGACATACAAATATTTGTCAAGTGAATGAACGAGTGACTGCTTTCTCTCTGACTATCCCATATCAGAAGTTCTCGGGAGCTGGTATCTCCCGCTCATCCTGTCTGTTAATTCTGTTTGAGTGGAGTGGTTCTTTGTGTATGTCTTGTGATTTTTGTATTGTGAGCTCATCTTTATAAAAGAATTCTTTGCAGCTTATGTAAAAGGTATAGCCTTCCTGAAGAACAGATTCCATCCATCCATCCATCCATCCATCCATCCATCCATCCATCCATCCATCCTTCCTTCTCAGTGGTGGCCTGAGATTTCCTAACCTGTAGACCACCTAGGTAGCAAATCAGAGTGAAGCAGGGGCCAGGTTCACACATGTATGGAGACCGTATTCCTTCCATACAAATTCAGGCCAGGACAGACAGGCTTTCCTGTTGTCTCTTATGTCTGTAGCCTATCTCTTTACTGAGGGTCAAGCTCTTTGAGTGTCTGGCTTTATATAAGAGATTGAGTACCAGCCTCCTTCCTTTCCTAAATAGAACCCTCATTTCACAGTACTGTGTACAAGTTAAATCTGTGACAAGTTCACACTGTATATATGTATGGAAATATCAAATGAAGCCCCATTATTATGTATAATTAAAGTGCATTAATTTTTTTAAATGACTATTTGGCCAACATTCATACCTCCCATTTCCCGAAGACAGCAGCTGCAGAAATAGCTCACCAGCTTCCGATTTTCAGTTCTCTTTTTCTTGAAGGCCTGTAGGGATTTCCCTTACTTCTTGCCAGCTCAGCTGAAAAGAGGTTTTAGTATTTCTTACATAGTTGATTTATGGAGAAGGACTTTGGGTTATTGTAGTTCTCCAGATGGCTCAAAGCAGAAGTGTTCTTCCTTGGTTTCTTTTCCAGAGCACACCCACTTTTCCAGCTGCAGGAAGTTCCAAGTTCAATTTAGGGTAGGAGGCAATAGGGTGGGGTGTTGGTATCCTGACCCTGTCACTGTGGTCCAGAGACTGCTAAAAGATGGGGGAGCAGTGACTTGGAAAGGCCGCATCAGTTGAACAACCTATGTGTTGTTTGGGGTTGGATGTAATCTTCTGGGACAAGATGGTCATTACTATTTGTTAGAAACATTATAGCTTTTTTTTCTGAAAATATGTAAAACAGACTATACATGATTGGGAAAACATTAAGAGCTGAATCAGCACACATTGTTTGCTTGGTCTTGGGCTCTGGGTTTGTATCAGCCTGCGGGTTTGGCATTCTGTTTTCTGCAGACTGTTTCTGGGGTCTGACCTCATCACTGGGAGCACTCCCACTAAAGAGCAGCCCAAGTCCACGGCCAGTGGGAGCTCTGGTGAGAGCATGGACTCCGTCAGCGTGTCGTCCTGTGAGTCAAACCACTCAGAGGCAGAGGAGGGTTCCATCACACCCATGGACACACCAGATGAGCCTCAAAAGAAGGTACATACCAATCCTTTCCATATTCTCCTTCCTGTTGCAGCCCCCAACATGCTATGTGCCACATGAAGAGTGTCTGTTCTCAGGTTTTTCAGTAGGTGTCAGAGACAGAGTCCCTTCTGGGGACCCATTCCTCGGAGAAACAGCTGCAAAGTACTGAGGAGATTGCCTCAGTATATTTCTTCTGTGCCTTGAAACATTATTATGCCCATGCCTAAATGCACCAAAGGATTATGGCCCCTAAAATAAGTGTGCTTTAGTCAAGAGAATCAGGCATGCTTGAGGAAGAACAAAACAGAAGAAATGGAGATATGCCAACTTTTTGGTGCCACGTGCTATTTTAGCCACACCTGTACCACACTCACATCATATAGAAAAGCACTCTAAACTTAAAAACTTGGAGCAACCACCATATTTCTAGGGGGGCTGGCTGCTCTGGGTCAGGCTTGACCCTACACCACAGTTTTAACCCAAGTCTGCTCACTTACCTGTCATTCATTTGGAGTAATGGACTTTCCAGAACACTCTCTTAGCATGCTGAAATGTATGAAGAGGGGAAGAAGCCCCACCCTGTAAGCACACACAGCCATCCTTTCCTTGGTCATACCTACCAACATTCCATTGCTCAAAGTAGTCATGTGGTCAAATCCAACATAAATAACTGAAGCAGGGAGATAGGATCTGACTTCGGTGGGAGGAACCGTGGAACAACACCCAGGGCAAAGGGCGCAGTTTGCAGCAGGGGGAGGTGTGATAATTATGATATAGTCTACCATAGCGGAAATAGATGGCAAGCTGTGAGCACCGATAGTGGGATCCTCATACAGTCCATTTCTCATGGCTGCAATAAAAAGGTAAGAGAAAATATCTGCACTACTGCAGCAAGATGGGAGACAGAGACAGGGGGCTCCTCAGAAGCTCCCAGGTCAGCTAGCCTGGTGTATGTACAAAATGGTGAATAGCCTGTCTCAGACAAGTTAGAGGTTGTCCTCTGACATCTACATGTGTGCACTCACACACAAATGTGCACACACATCTTACACACACACACACACACACACACACACACACACACACACACCCCCTTTCTCTCACCATAGAGATTTTTTTTAAACACACACAGATTTTTAAAAATCTAGAAGGAGGTCTTACTCCTTTGCTTTTTCACAGGGTCTAGTGTTTTATGGGTCTCATAATCTGCTGGTGGGTGTCATAGGAAAGTGATCATGGCTATGCCGCCCACACGTCTTGGAGGGATTGCTGTCTCTGTCTGGGAAGGAGATGGAATCAATCTGTTGGTGCAGAGGTAGAATATGACCACGCTACCCTTAGGAGAGCATGAAAATTAGGGCTGAGGACGCCACTCAGCAGTGGAGTGTATAACTAGTATTACAAAGCCTTGGCTTCCATGCCTAGCAGCACACCTACACACACACACACACACACACACACACACACACACACACACACACTACACACGTGTCCTGGAAGTCATGTACATGTTGTTGCTTCCACAACTCTTTATGGTTTTTGTCAGATTAATTTCTTTCATAGGTTATATTTATATATTTTCAGATGAATCTTTCCTAGAGTCAAGTTTCTACAGACTTAAAGATGAGTGTGTGACATGGGTACATGCAGTTTCTGTGCTGAAAAATCCCTATACATTACCCAGAAAATTCCACAGTTCTGCATGGCTCCTGACTGGGCCTGGATGTCTCACACACTCTTAGCCCAGGATCCTGTGATGACTTCCTCTCTAGTGGCCTCCACATGGTCCCTCTTCCTCTCCCATGTGAGGTTAAAGTATAATTTGCATTCCTCTTTCTTCATGCTCCTTATCATCACTTATAAACATTTATTTTTATGTTCACTTCTTACCACTTACATTCTTACTAGGAATATGGGGGCCCATCAAATATTCTGTTTATAACTCAAGTAACCTCACCATCCTTAATGTTTTATCATCTCCATTATAAATGTTATTAAAATCATGGAAAGGGAAGAAGAACATGACAGTGAAAAAATTCAACCAACATTTGGAAAATGAACCTTCTTGGCTAATATACTTGCAGACATTTTTTTTTGTTTTGTTTTGTTTTGTTTTTTGTTTTTTTTTGTTTTGTTTTGTTTTTCGAGACAGGGTTTCTCTGTGTAGCTTTGCGCCTTTCCTGGAACTCACTTGGTAGTCCAGGCTGGCCTCGAACTCACAGAGATCCGCCTGGCTCTGCCTCCTGAGTGCTGGGATTAAAGGCGTGCGCCACCACCGCCCGGCTTGTTTTTGTTTTTTGAGACAAGGTTTCTCTGTGTAGCTTTGCGCCTTTTCTGGAACTTGCTTTGTAGACCAGGCTGGCCTCGAACTCACAGAGATCCGCCTGCCTGTGCCTCCCAAGTGCTGGGATTAAAGGCGTGCAACACTACTGCCCGGTGCAGGCAAAATTATGCTATTAAAATTGTCCACTCTGAGTAAGTGCTCAAGCTGAGTTACTGGGGAAGAGAAAGCAAAATCCCAGACAACAGCAGCATATAGCTCAACTGTGTCATGACAATCCCACTGCAGATACTACACATCAGAACTGGCGTTTCAGCTTGCTTGCCGTAATAGAACACCCATGTTGTGGAATTGTCTTTAACACAGGATGCCCTAGGAAGAAGCAGCCCCCAGGAAATTAAAGCTAGCATAGTTCCTATTTTTTTTTTAGAAGCCACATTATCAGAAAGCTACATTTCTTAATCTGTTTCTGTGGAAGGACAGACACATATGGAAGAAGTTAATAATGATTTTTAATGACTTCTAGAATATTTTCCAGGATTATTATAATATAGTTCAGCTTAACTCACTCCAGATATTACACACACACACACACACACACACATACACACACACACACACACACACACACACACACACACACACACACAGCAAATGTGAAAAGTGGCAGAGATACTCAAAGGCTGTGTGTCTTTCAGGCAAAGGAATTGCTTTTTCTGAATCGTATATTCATCATTGTTATAACGCTGTGAGACCTAAGTGAGAAAGAAATGCAAGGCCATTACCAGTCTTACGGTATTAAAGGTATCACGGCAATAGCACATCAGGTCACCCGTCACTGTATCTTCTGCAGGGTGCTGTACATTGCTGGGTGCTTGCTAGGTACACAACATGGCAAAAGGAGACGCAGTGCTCCTGGTCCTGGTAGCAGTGAGACTAGGTGGATGAACCTGGGGCACAGTGTTGACTCTGGGCCTTGGGCTTCTCTAGTTGAGAAAAGGGTCAGGTCAGAAAAGCCCTGCCCCGCCCTCAGCAGAACTACCTAAGCTGTGTGTAGTCCTTATCTTATAAGCTTCTAGGCATAAAGACATGTATGTCCTACTACAAAGTCTGGATGTGAAGTAGCGTCAGGACGGAATGCTCTCCATGACCGCATTGGTGTTGAGTGTCTTCCATAAGGAAGGCTTCCTGGCATCTGTAAGCTGACTTACTTCAGCGGCTGTGGCCTGTATAAGCTGGTGTCTGCTGCCACCTCCTGGTTGACTTTCATATGAACAACTGAAACCAGGAAGTCAAAGAGCCACTGTGCCTTTCCATGATTCAGAGTGCTTAGATCGCTCTGAGTCACTGACAGTCACATCAGCCCATGGTCTGTAGGTGTGCGCGTGATCAGTTACCAGAGACCTGTGAGATATCGAGGAGGAAGTCACTGAAGCTGATCAGTTTCCATATCTACTTCTGTCTTGAAAATTGTGACGCATGCTTGGTCCGGGTTCTAACGGCCCTGTTTTCTTTGGGGATGTGTTCCCTCTTGCAGCTCTCTGAGTCCTCCTCTTCATGTTCCTCGATCCATTCCATGGACACAAATTCCTCAGGGATGTCGTCCTTAGTCAACCCCCTGTCCTCCCCTCCAACCTGCAACAACAACCCTAAAATCCACAAGCGCTCCGTCTCCGTGACGTCCATTACCTCCACAGTACTGCCTCCTGTTTACAACCAGCAGAACGAAGACACCTGCATCATCCGCATCAGCGTAGAGGACGACAACGGGAACATGTACAAGAGCATCATGGTAAGGGGCCGTCCTGTCTGGGAGGGTCTCCGTGGCAAGAGCCCAGGCTGCCGCATCTGTCAGCTGTGCACACTGATACCCTTGAACACGCATGCTCTTGTCACACCTGTCTCTGTGTGCACATACAACCAACAGGAAAAGCAGCAACATCTTCCCGGGCCTCGATTAATGGTATGTCCATCTAATGGTGCAGGTGACTGTAGGGTATAGTTTTGACATCTTGAGAGTTATTTAAACGTATTCATCAGGGTTGGTGTCCCGTTCCGTGGTGATCCACGTGGGTGACTATATGACAGCGGTCTAGGGAGGATGCCATGGCTCCTCATGCCTTCTTCACAGGAACTCTTCCGGTGTTTAGACTTAGGAGTGAATTAACCTGCCTTTTCAGTAGTGTGGGAACAGAGCTTTCCCTTTTAGTCATTTGGCTCAAGCCTAGCTCCCGAAGAGGATGATTAAGGTGAAATGCAGTTTGGGTCAGCAAGTAGCTTAATAAGTATATGGAACTGGGTTTTATGTGCTTCTTACAAAACCTGCATTAGACTAGGAAAATTCCAAAGCTGCACTTGATGGTGCTAGTCTTTTGGAATACATACCAGGCCTCTCATGGTGATAACCTTGACTGTGTAAGGTCATGAGTGAGATGACTAAATTTCTTAGTCGATAGGGCCTATAATACACTAAAATAAATAAACAATAAGTAAATCCATTTCTGCAGCCAAGTCTACAATCAATTCCATTTCTGCTTTGATTGTCATCATTTGCCTCCAGGCTAAGGCCTGGATGTGCCATAGTGGTGTGGAGTCATTGTCTTTTAACATTCCAGAGAAAGCCTTTGCTGACCCGTTCACTGAACACAGTAATTGTTGAGGGTGTGTTGTTACTAGTTATTGCCCTGGGCTGAGACGAAGGAGATGAATAAGAGTCATTGATCTTTGAAGAACTTGCAGTGAAAGAGAGAGAAATCATACACTAAATGTTCTAACAGAAACCAGACCAGATTGGAAACGGTCTTGTGGCCTCCTCTGGGGACTTTGTGTTAATTCTACAGGCAGTAAGTTCTCTCTGGAGGGTTCATGTTAAGGAACGATCAGGTTTGTTCATTAGAAGAGTAACTGGCCTTGTGAAGGCCTGCTGCTAGAGGTGAGGGTGGGAGGGAGCACCAGGGGCCGGAAGCAAGCTAGGAAGCTGCTCCATCTTTCATGCAGGGCCTGATAAGGGCTTGAATAGTGATCCTGTGGCTGGAGATGATATAGGAAGTATCTTATGAGGTATTATTGTAAGAGCCATTCATCCCGTTATCAACCTTTTGGTAACTGTTGTGGAGGGTACGGAAGAGGGAGGATTCCTAAGGAAGAGGGAGAATTTGGGACCATCTGGTGACCTTGTGGCCTGGTAGCCGATGACTCTGTCCAGTGAGATATGAACTGCTAGAGGAGAAGGTTTCAGGGTCTTTAAATTGGGACATCCAGATGGCATTGTTTAATAGATGGTCAGAAACATAGGGATGCAGGGCTAGTGTTGGACTCCAATAGTACATGTCTTTCAGCCCCATGGGGTGGGAATGAGTGTGGGATGAGACCCAGTTTAACTGGTAGTAGGGAGCAGCTAACAAGGATGCACTAGAGAAATAGACCCCCTGGGAGTCCGGCCATCCGTAGTAGTATTTTCAGCACACTCTGGTGGTATGCTTCTGTTATATGCCAACCAGAGAGCAGTGGACCACCCACATAGCCAGTGTCTCGGAATCAGAGTACAGATGTGTGCACCCAGCGGTTACGTTGTGTGCCATGCCCATGGCTGTGTGCTCTGCGTGGTCAGGGGAAAACAGTACACCCAGGAGACATCTTGGACCAGATGTGATGTCCTGGTGTTGGGTGGACAATAAATAGATGAGTCTCCAGAGTATTCCTTCCTTGGGATAGGGACTGCCTTCAGGAGAACACCCCCCTTTGCTGTCCTTTCCTGGGGCCCTTTATGTTCCTTTATAAACACCCAGGGAGAGCCCTTGGCCACTGCCCTTATTCTGTAGCCTGGCTCTCTCCCTAAACAGATTTCTAAACTGAAATCTACCTGTCTTTTACCCCACAAGTGTCCTTCCTCCTCCAGCATTACACTGCTAATCTGCTGTTTGGGATAATTTCCTTTATATTATCAAAAATATATATTTTCATCCTTTAAAATTTTGTCTACATCAGTTCTTTCCTTGTGAGTACATAAGCCAGATGTTTCGGTAATAGGCAAATCCACTCGGCCCTTATTGCTGTTTATCGAATCACAAGCACCAGCTGCTGCCTGGGTCACGTGTGTGTGCATGCCACCTCCTGGTGAGAGAAGCTTTTCTTTTTAAATATGCATAATCTGAGTTTTCATTCACTTCTTTAGCCTTTGAAGAAATCACTCAAGATACGGTGTGTAGATGGCCCTCTTAGATGTCACCTGAACTCATGCTCAAAATAGTGGGCGGAGATAAAGAAAAGAAAAATAAGACTTGGGAGAGAACAGAACCTTTGTGCTTTCATTAGAAGCTGATTTTTACTGAAGTATGATTAGCACACAGTTCAGATCTTAGTGTTCTGTTCTTTGAGTTTTAAAATCTCTTGGTATGTATCTATCTGTCCACCACCTGAAATCCAATGAAGGCTATTTCCAGCCAAACCAAGACTCCCTCCAATACTTCCAATCAGCCCCCTTTAACCACAGATGCAGGGTTTATGTTTTAATGCTGTCTTATATCAGCACATTTGTGAGATCATCCCCCATTGTTGCAGGTGTCAGTCCTTGGTCAGTTCTCCTTGAGTGGCTTAGCAGTCAGCATGGCATCATTTTGTCACACATTCTCCTGTAGAAGAGAAGAGTCAGGTTGATTGAAGGTTTGGGATATTATGAATGAACCTGCTGTGATATTGTGCACAAGTCCCTTTGTGGACATAGGTTTTCAGTTCTTTTAGCAAATGGTTTGCTGGGTCATAGAGTCTCTTATGCTTTTTTTTTTTCAGTAGACAGAATTGTAGCCATTTCTTTCTGTTGGTTATCAACTAAGCTCTACACATGAAGATCGCATTGGTCCAGGACTCATAATGCCTTACATTTTTCACAGTTCATATATATATTCTTTTATTGGGAAATTAAGCAGTGTGGGGTGATAGTCAATGTGTGTTTGTAGTCAGAAGATTTCTCCAGTCCTGCCTGGTCCCCACAGTCCCATGGCCTGCTTATAAAATAATCACTCAGAAGCTTATATTAATTATAACTGCTTGGCCCTTAGCTCAGGCTTACTACTGACTAGCTCTTACACTTAAATTAACCCATAATTTTTAATCTATGTTTAGCCACGTGACTTGGTACCTTTTCTCAGTTTTGCCTTCACATCTTGCTTCCTCTGAGTTTGGCTTTTGACTCCTGACTTAGCCTTCCTCTTCCCAGAATTCTCCTTGTCTGTTTATCCCGCCTATACTTCCTGCCTGGCTACTGGCCAATCAGTGTTTTATTTATCAACCAATCAGGGCAACACATTCACAGCATGTATTTTCCTCATTTTAGTGGGGCCACTGGATTACCTGCCTGCCATCTTTTGGCTTGTCAGATGGAAGTAGTACTAACCCTCAGGAGTCCTGGCTCTCGGGCCCATTCTTATGCCACCTTCTCCATCCTTCCTAGAGAAGGATGTGCCACACAAGACAACAAAGGTCAGGAGCTTAGGAAACACGAGCTAAGCACGTTACAGATGTCTTTGTTGTCTTTGCAGTTGACAAGCCAAGATAAGACCCCTGCTGTGATCCAGAGAGCCATGATGAAGCACAATCTGGACTCGGACCCAGCTGAGGAATACGAGCTGGTACAGGTCATCTCAGAGGACAAAGGTGGGCACATTCTCCTCTGTATGCCAGGTGCCAGCAGTCTGCACGTTTTGCTCTTGGTTGCTCACAGCAGAAAGGGCATGTAATGTTTTTCTTTTTATTGGAACCTAGTGGCGGGCCTGCATGTGTGCGTGCGTGTGTGCATGCATGCATGCGTGCAGCCAGAGCAGTACTATAATGGGTGGTCTGCTCTCACTGAGCTTGGAGCAAGGCTGGTGGCCTGCAAGCCCAGGCAATCCTCCTGTCTCCTCCCCTGACAGGGTGTGGTTACAGGCACAGTTTTTATGTGGTACTGGATCTAAACTCAGATTCTCATTCTTACACAGCAAGTGTTCTCATCCACGGGACCCTCTCTCCTGCCCCCTGGTGGCGTTTTTTAACTATGCAAGGGTGGCAGACTACAGGTGACCTTACCGTAGAATCAGTTATCTCAAGCAGCTCCCAGCTCTTAGGCCCCCAGCTCGTTTGCTGTTGTTTCTGGGGTTTTTGTAGGATTCCTGTTGTCCATCGTTTGTGTTCCCCATGAGAAGGACATTTTCATGAGCAGTCCCTGTGTGTCAGGAGTGGGTGTTCCCTCTGAAAAGTGTGTTTTCATGAGCGGTCTCTGTGTGTCAGGAGTGGGAAGCGGATGGAACCTGTTGGGTCTGGGCGGGTGGACACACACATCCTTTACTTGACACTGATTCTCTGTCCTGTGTGACCTGGAGGCACTCACGTCAGAATTTCCCATATGTTTCACTTCAGCGTTTGAGAGAGTTGTGGGCTTTTGTTGTTGTTCTTTTGTTTTCGTAATTTCTGATCAATCTTTAGTAACCAAGGAACTGGTGAAATGCACCTGTGAGGCCAGAACTCATTATTATTATTATTTTAAATGCTTTTCAAAGGTCTCTTACCCCTTCATGTGTCTATTTGCTCGTCTGAATTGGGGGTGGTAGGTTTGGGGAGAGAGGTAGGCAGGTGAATGACTTCTCTGTCACATTGTGGAGGCCTTCAAGAGCAGAATTGACAGTGCGCGTTGTTGACCGAGGCTAGCCCGGCCTGCCGACAGATCCACACTGACGTCCCATCTCAATGGAAGGCGCTGCTCAGCCACAAGGAGCACTCTCCTCCCAGAAAACAAAAGGAGAATTATGTTATTGGGGGGTGGGGAGACCACGGCTCCTGGCCAACAGATCACCAGGGTTCTCTCTTCGGCCCAGAGATGAGTGACTGGAGTGGGAACAGCGCCTGTCCCTGGACATTCGAAGCCGTAGTGTCCGAGGCAATCCTATTCCAGCTGCCTATTGGAGGTTTCTCAGCCATCCATCTTCGTCTTAGTTTGTAGGATAAAACCTTCTCAATTATAATTTGTGTGGGGTGGGGTGCACATGTGTGCAGGTGCCTGTGGAGGCCAGAAGTCAGCACTGGCTGTCAGTCAGCACTGGCTGTCAGTCAGTCAGTCAGCACTGGCTGTCAGTCAGTCAGCACTGGCTGTCAGTCAGTCAGCGCTGGCTGTCATTCCTTGGGCTCTTTCTTTCTTTTTTTTTTTTTAAAGATATGCTCTCTTGCCGGGCGGTGGTGGTGCTTGCCTTTAATCCCAGCACTCGGGAGGCAGAGGCAGGCGGATCTCTGTGAGTTCGAGGCCAGCCTGGTCTACAGAGTGAGTTCCAGGAAAGGTGCAAAGCTACACAGAGAAACCCTGTCTCGAAAAACCAAAAAAAAAAAAAAAAAAAAAAAGATATGCTCTCTTACTAGCCTGGAACCCAGCAAGTAGGTTAGGCTGGCCAGGGATCCATTTTCGTGTCTCTGACTTCTCAGTGTGGGATTGCAAGTGTGTGTCCATACCCAGCTTTTTAAGTTTTGTGTGTGTGTGTGTGTGTGTGTGTGTGTGTGTGTGTGTGTGTGTGTGCAAGTATGCGTCCATACCCAGCTTTTTAAGTTTCATATGTGTGTGTGTGTGCAAGTGTGTGTCCATACCCAGCTTTTAAAATTTCCTTTGTGTGTGTGTGTGTCTGTGCATTACGTACATGCAGTACCTGTACAGGCCAGAAGAGGCTTTCTGATTACTTCAAACTAGAGTTACAGATGGTTGTGTGTGCTGGGAATTGAACCTATGTCCTCTGGAAGAACAGCTGTGTGTTCTTTTAACCCTGAGCCATCTCTCCAGCCCCAAATCCAGCTTCTTTTTCTTTTTCTTTCTTTCTTCTGAAGTATAGGTTCTAAGAACTGAACTCAGGTCCTTGTGCCTACAAAGCAGTTACTTTTCAGGTGGAGCCATCTCCGGACCTTCAATTATAACATTGAAATGCAGTTGCAGTTAAAATTAGAAATCTGAAAGTGTTCTATTAAACTGTAGTGTGTGGCCACAGAGTAGTGCAAAGGAGACCAATGGGTCTGAAGATCCAGTGGCCCAGAGAATGAAACCCGGGCCTAGCTGTGCCCACCAACTGAGTGGTCTTAACAAATGCCTGACCTTACCAGCCATGGTCCTTTCTCACTTATCTGGAGACAAAAGCCCTCTCTGGTCCCTCATACATCCTAGGGCGATTATGAAATCAATATAAGAAATGTACCAGTCGGAGCTTTGTAGAAATGCTAAGTACTCTACAAATGGGACGGGTATCGTTGTGACCCCCAAAATAGGTGAGTGTGAGTGAGAAGACACTTGGGGATGTTAGTCCTTGTGGTGCACTTGAACGTAACATCCCAGTCTTGAGAGCCTGATCACCGTGGCTAGCTGTGGGGTCCCAGTGTGAGGAGTTCACTGGAAACTCCCTTCCTGCAGGTCTGCAGCCAGATGCCCTGCAACTTTCTTTCCTGACCTCACTGCCATAAATCCCGAGATCCCCACATTTGCCCATTTTATTCTTTGCTTTTAAAAACAGAAGAAAACAACTTTGCTTTGGCACAATTCCACAGGTGACAGCCCTTGTTCGTAAATTGCAGGTGTTTAGTTGGGCATGACTGAAGTTGAATACAGCTTGAAAGTTAGTGGCATGCACTGATTTCTCTCGGTGTTGTTTGGTGTTGAAAAGCAAACTCTGGGCGAAGCAGTGATTCAAAAAGAATAAAGAACGAGTTTGACTTGGAATTATGCCAAAAATATTTAATTTAATCCAAGTAAAGATGTCTGAACAAATGCTGTAAGTCTTGTTCATATTGCTGGACTCCTGTAGACTGTGGGAGCACATGTGTGTATTTGGATGGTAGGAAGCTAGCAGGAGTTGGGTTCCCATTCCAGCTCTGTGGCCCTGGGATCATCTTGGTGCCCCCACCCAGATATGTTCTTCAAGCTTTCAACATTCTCTATTTGAACAGTAAGTTCACAGGAATTCTGACACTTTATTTGTCTCAGTTTCAGATAGGGATTACATTTTGGGGAATGGTCATGAGGAGGTGTCCACACTGCCTGGTCCAGGTTCCATTCATGTAACCTGCCTCCATCCAGGCCTTGTGTCTGGGCAGGATTGACTCCTGCCAGTCAGCGATGGGCCGCCCTACACAAACTGACCAGCTGCTGTTTCTTTGTCTCTTCTAGAGCTGGTGATCCCGGACTCTGCAAACGTCTTTTATGCCATGAACAGCCAAGTGAACTTCGACTTCATTTTACGCAAAAAGAACTCAGTGGAAGAGCAGGTGAAGCTGCGTAGTCGGACCAGCTTGACCTTGCCCAGGACTGCGAAGCGGGGCTGTTGGAGTAACAGACACAGCAAGATCACCCTCTGAAAGGGACAGTCCACCCCTACTTGTCAAAGGCAGAGTGGGGCTGAGAACAGCTGTGGTGGCCGCAACTACCGCTCAGTGCTGAGGATCATTGGTGAAGCCAACAGATATTTATTGAGTTCAGATGTGTACAAAGCACTATGTAGGGAGAGTGGAAGTGAATTTGACATAAAAAGGATTAATGATTCACTGATACTCTTGGACCTGAACGTGAAATACAAAATGATCCACATTTAAAAATATATATACACACACACATATGTAGTGTGTGTGTGTGTGTGTGTGTGTGTGTGTGTGTGTATAGATATATATATATAAAAGGAACTTTACAGGATGTTCTGGACTATGGGAAAACCAATTTGCACAATGGCCTGGGAAGTTGAGGTCACTTTTTACAGGGAAATAGAAGGGACTGAGACCTTAGTCTCACACCTTCCAAATAAATAGATCTACCAATAGTGAGTATTCTTCATGCCAGTATTATAAGCCCAAACTCTATTTTTGTAAAGGGAGAGGATTACTTTCTCAATCCTGTGCCACCAGACGAACAAACTGCAGAGGTTGGAGTGGCCACGGGCTGCATGAAAGGCCGCCATGGGAAGGTTTGGATGAGTCCGTGGTCCCTGCCCTCTGCCCACATCTGCCGGAGCTTCAGAGGCTTGCGTGCCTTGCCGGTCCCCATTCACAATGCCTCTGGAGTCAACACAAGCTTGTTTCGATTTCTGGAAACCCTGTTGTGTTTCTGTGTCCTCTCCTAAAGAACATGCCGCAGTCATTACTGCCCAAGTAGCCGAGGTCTTCCGTAACTTAGCAGCCCGAGAAGGAAGTGCGGAAGAACGGCGGCTCCCATGGACTCTCTTCTCCATCTTGGAGTACCGCGCCTTGCCCTTCTGATTGCCTTTCGCATGTAAAAGTGTATGTCCGGAGTCTTTCGCCACCTGGAGCCTGGTACCTCTATCTTATGTGCAGTTTGTTCCTCAGGTGCAGACATTTCTACTGAGACTGACCACATTTGATCATTTCAAGCCTGTGAAAGATTTCTGAGCAGCGACCTCCCTGTAATGACCCCTCGGAAAATGCGCCCCCCCCCCCCATAACTCATCTAGCTTCCTTCCTTACTTTTGTAGCATTCCTGTGCCCAGTCACAGGGTAGGAAGGGGGCGTACACTGTCTCCGCCTTTTTGCAAAGAGATGCATCCTTCTAGCTGGAAACGATAACCTTCCTCCTTTCTCATCCCACACCTGCTCCCCTGGCGCCGCTGTTAAGTGACATTTTTGTCTGTAGTAATGTAACACCATCATGCTTTTGCTTCTGATCTTACGGATGTTGGCGTTTGGATGAAAAAGCCATATGGGGTGAGTTGACGTGTGTAAGAAGCACTTTCAAATTGTTGTCCCCCTCTTTAAGAAAAAATTCCCCCCAAATACCAGTTTTTATTCCAAAAATAAAGAGAATGAACCTAGGATATGATGTCCGGATTGTAACAGAGAACATTTTTTTCCCCTAACAGTGTATATAGCTCCCAAAGGTCTTGTGGGTTTATGTTATGTAAATAGCCATATGAATCCAACAAGAAACACCAGGAAAAGCTCAAGAGATTTGTGGCAATGGACCAAAGAGAGAGCCAAGAAGTCCTCCGATTCCCTTGGTGTTTCTAGGAGACTGGACTGGGCTGTGGAGACCAGCTGGGTGTCAACGGTCGGAAGGCCTTTCTTTCTCGTTTGTGAGCCATGTTTGGTTGGTGCTTCTGTGCATGGAGGGGAGATGGCAAGGATCACAGCCATCATGAAGACTGAAGTAAACCTAGCCTCAGCTTGGCTTTCTCAGTGTCAAGGTCAAAAAGTAAAGGCAGAGCTGTTGGCCTGGTTTAGGGTGTGGCTCCCAAGACATACGTGCTATGCCCAATGTGCTCACCCTGTGTAATTATACTGTATATGTAGAGCCTAGATTTATATTCTGCAATGTAAAAAAAATATATATTTACCTTTTTTAAAAAAGACAATGGAAATCCCAAGTGGATAAAACACGGTCTCGTTTATTTAATGCCACTTCAGTTGTTTTAACTTTGCTTCTGGGTGAACAGCTGGATGTTGTTTCCAGCTGCTCGCACGCTCGTCTCTCTGCATCTCCAGCATCTGTTTACCTTTTGGTTAAACTAATAAACTGGTTTGGGACTTGGTTGGCATGTGCTGCCAGACCCAAAGGGCTCGTATCTGGAGTGTTAATTAGGTGGGATCCGGGATCCGGGTTTGCCAGCATTGATTCTAAGGCCCTTTGTGAATCAGCCGGAGAGAACAGAGGAGCAGCAGAGGGCTGTGTCCACCGGCAAGGGTTGTTAGCTTCGAGGGAAGAGGGGTGTGCTCGGAATACACCAGTCACTGGTGGTGCTCTGCTTATTCTAGGAGCCACGCAGTGGGGCTGCCTTTCCGAAGTGTGAGCCTGGGGTGAGGACCCAAGGTAGGTCCTGCTATCTCAAACACAGGGCTGCCACCATCTGGACACTTGTGAAACCTTTGGTGATGCTCCCTCAGCCAGGAAACCCTCGATGGAATGGCAACGTCTTCTCAGAAGGCATCCCATCTCAGTTGACTTCACACAACACAGTCTCGTTGTTTTCATATTGTTACCCAGAATGACTTTCCTACAGGTTCCTAAGTTGGACCAAGTGGGTATTTTAAAGAGGAATTGATAGTGTGGCATGCCCTCTGGCACTTTGTGACGAATTTTTCAAAACCATTCTAGAACATGAGCGCCCCCCCAACACACACACATGTAGAAACCAATCTTGGAGTTGTGCCTGAAGTCATGTCTTTGGATTGCCTTCTCTGAGTCACGTTCAAGTTCACGCAGTGTAAGACTGTAGGCGGCTGCCGTGCTGTGCGCTGCTCTGACCTCAGTGGGATGGAGGAGTTTCCTGAGACTAATTGGCTTTCTCTACAGATGCCTACAACTCCAATATAAGAAGTTAATTACATTGCTGTTTTCCTTGAGAGATGTCTAAAATGAAATGCCACCGGAAGTATTTATTAGGCTACCTAGACTAGACTGAAGTCACAAAGAAACCTTAGTAACCTTAACCAGAGATTTTTCCTTTTCATTTGTGTGAGTGCAGCGGAAGCCAGGCAAGTCTCTTGAACTGTGACTAGGGACTCAGCTGCCTCCTGCCTACAAGTCTACCTGCTTGATTTTTTGCCCTTCAAGTCACAAGGATTTCTAAAATGGTTTTAGTCATAACAGTTCTGGCTGGCATGGCATCCATCATTCATAGTCCCATCACTATGTAGCTCTGTCTGGTGTCTCTGTCCAGGGGAGGCAAGACACAAATACCTGAAGAACTTGTTGAGCATTGATGTCTTTCTAGAATGTTCTACACTCATCAGGGACAGTGTTTAGAATACATGGTGAGGACTTCTGAGGGGGGCTGCGTGCTGCAGAGGGGAAGCGGAAGATGAGATGCTGAAAGGGGGGGCGAATATCCAAGAGGGATATAAATTTGTCTGAAAGGCAGAAAACTCCAAGCCAGTTTCTCCTCCTCCTCCTCCTCCTCCTCCTCCTCCTCCTCTTCCTCCTCTTCTTCTTCTTGTTTGTTTGTTTTTCGAGACAAGGTTTCTCTGTGTAGCTTTGGCGCCTTTCCTGGAACTCTGTAGCCCAGGCTGGCCTCGAACTCAGAGAGAACCACCTGCCTCTGCCTCCCACGTGCAGGGTTAAAGGCGTGCACCACCACCGCCCAGCTAAGCCAGTTCTCTTTAGATCATTATTTGCCAATTACTGTTGAGCGTGGGCCCTCAGTATTTCTGCCCAAACCCTGTATCCAGTGTGGAAGGACTTCATTTTAATTGGCAGTTTGAGGCATCTAATTCAAGCCACACCCCCATTCTTCCCTCCCTTTCTTCTCCCTCCCCGACCCCTTTTGTGTGTGTGTGTGTGTGTGTGTGTGTGTGTGTGTGTGTGTGTGTGTGTGTGTGTGTTGATGCAGGATCTCCCCTTCTGGGAGAGCCTCTGTGCTGCAGTGACTTCGATCCACGCCCTTTGTCACAGCGTCTCAGGAGAAATCATCGTGCCCAGCCACCATTTGTTACCAGAACAGTGTGGTGTGACACAGGCCCAGCCTTGTACACAAGCATATAAATGAGTGCCTGAAAGATCCCCTTAAACAAGAGATGATTGAAATTATTTCCGAATTGCTCCCATGCCTCCTCTCGAAAAATCAAGGTACCAGATCTGAAATGGAAGCAGCCTTCTACATGACTGCGTTTTTTCCCCACACACCCATGATCCTCATTTATATGACAGCAAACAGCCAAGCCTCCAGCAAAATCTTATCTGAGAATGTACACTATGATATCTATCTATCTATCTATCTATCTATCTATCTATATATATATATGTATATTTGATAAATTGTTGAATGATTAGTATATTATCTATCATGGATCGGAGCTACAGACTCCCATATATCAATCAGAGAGTGAGAGAAAAACTGTCAGACATTGTGTTAACACTGCGGTTTGCAGTTTGCTCTGTGTGTGTGTGTGTGTGTGTGTGTGTGTGTGTGTGTGTGTGTGTGTGTAGGGGGGGATCTGGAAAGCCACAACTAACAGGCATTCCTACCCCTTGAGGTTTATTCAGTGTTGAGTGACAGCACATTTACAAAGAGCTCTTCGCTTGGGTGCACAGGCTCAGCTGGCTGAGGGAGGTAAGCCCCAACCTTCTTGGATGGGGGAGCAGCCCATATTCCAGGTGTGAGATGGGAAAATGTTCGAGGTAGGGCTTCTATGAGTGGAACAGCACCCTGGGAAAATCTTAGCCTGCTTGGGGAAAGACTGACTCATGGAGTTGGAGCAGGCCTGGGGCTCCTACAGCTTGTTTCTTGGCTGTGACCCAAAGAGACTCAAGAAGACAGGCATGTAGGCTCTGCACAGACTCCCTGGGGCAGCCTTCAGCTTCGCGGTGAGGGGCTTTGACAGGCAACCGGAGCCCTAAGCTCAAGTATCCCTCTGAGGGCACTCACCTTCCCAGATGCCCTCTGCAGTCCTATTGGGTGAGAGAACCTCACTCAATAGAAGCCTCGGTTTCTCCTGGGTCCTCTTCTGTGAGTCCAATCCCTGCATCTTTCCTGTAGGAAGGGGCTTTGGCTTCACAAGCCCTGTCCAGAGACGTGCACACGTCCGAATCCAGGCTATTGCTGTCCCACCATTTCATCACAGGCCTAACCCCTTCAGTCTCTCCCACTGGGATAGGTTTCAAAGGATAAGTGGTCACTTTAAGGACTAGGCTAGTAACACTTCTGTTAAACCTCCCTCCTACCGCTAGTTTCTACTTGTTCCCTTCCCTGCACAGCCTGAGCCCCACATCACTACCTCCAAGCACAGCCTAGCATCTGCTCGTCTTCTCTTGTCCTGTACTTCTGTCCCAGAATCCCTCTGGGCATCAGGACTTTGCTCTTCTGGCTCCCACTTATCTCTTCATTTATGTATGCCCCCATTCCCTCAAATCTGCTTTTGTTGTTTTTTTTTTGTTTGTTTGTTTGTTTTTTTTGTTTTTTCCCCTGCACGGCCAGGTTGGACAATCTTACAATCCCTATCAAGTTTTCATGGTGTCAGGCTGGCTTAGACTAGCAGTCGGAACCTTCAGACTCACACATCGACACTAACTCAACTCTGGCTGGCCTGTCTGTCCCACACTCTGGTTTTCCTTCCAGAGGGGATACTTTCTCACAGATTGTTTTCAAGGCTGCTCTGAGACAGAGGGGGAAGGCTGCAAGTTCTTCCAGAAGCGAGCTTCTGGACACCTCTGACAGGACTGGGAACTGTTGAGGTTCCCCAGGGGCTTCGAAGCAGATGTTTTTCAGACCTTGGAAGTGCTCTGACATGGAATTTGACTGGCACACCCATTTCAAGGGAAACGATGCTGGGGAACCAGGGAGGGGCCTAAAAAATGTAGTTTATTCAAGAGTAAAGGGAATTGGTCCTCAGATGATTTTTTCACTCTCTCCACCCTTCTCAGAGCAAGGGGAGGATGGCGTGGGTTGTGAGCAGTGCAGTCGGTGTGTGGGAGCAGTCCACGCAAGACCACTTTAATTATGACCATGTACAGTGGGAGCAAGCAAACACACACACATGCACACACACGGGGGGGGGGGGGGGGGGGGGGGGGGGGGGGAGGGAAGGGAGAAGAAGGCCGTGGCCCTAAGGGTGGGAGAGAGAGTTTTCAGTGAATTCACAGAGCAGAAAGGAAGTTGGCCTCCTGCCCCCAAAATTTTAATGACATTCTGTTGGCCCTGGGATCCCACCCGGTGTCTAATACTTCCATCAAAATCCCTTCCTGAACACGAAAGCACGCTCATCTTTTCCCGTCCTTGTCACAGGCAGAGGCGCCATTTTCCATGTAGTCTGTGGTAGCATGAGGAAAACCACCACGGTTAGGTCTCTTCTCCAAGTGGGCACACAGAAAAGCCACTAGACTTTTCTTCTTGCCTCAGATGCCCTGTGCTGAAGAGGCTGCCATTCGAAGCTCACAGGGGACCCCATGAGTCCTTCCTCCTTACAGCTTCCTCCCTCGGCCGTGTTTATGAGAACGTCTCTGGGGTGACAGGTTTTCTGTGAAGAAAATTTCCCTACAAAATGGAATGTGGCTGTACTGACCATTTCCAGGACTGCCTGCCCTTGGGTGTAACCCGTTACATGCTGTTTTTCAAATGTAACTTTATTTTGTTATTGTTTAACTCCCCAGTGAACTGATTTCTTGTCAGTCAAGGAGATCGATCACTTGTGGCTCATGCCCCTCCCCTCCTGGCTTGGGAAGAGTCTCTCATAAGCTGCCTGCGGAAAGCCTCCTGAAAGCCATCTTTACTTCAGACGCCTGCTCCAACCGTGAGTGAGACACAGTCAGAGAAGCAGGTTTGTGCCCGAATAGGAACCTTTCTGGCTTCAGGCGCAACGGTATTCCAGAAAGCTCTGCACTGTCTGTCAGGAAAGGAACCAAAAGAGACTCCTAGAATCCCTCCCCAAACATCAGCCTCCTTCTTCAGGATCAGAAAGTAATCAAGTCGGCTTGCTGTCGTTACCTGGTCGGCCCTGTTCCGTTACCGATACCAGCACATCCTCAACTGTTCCATCCACCGACTCTCCCACTAGCTCTAGATGGGTCTTTGCACAGGGCTCCTTTCATTGTGCCTGGAAACCATCACCAAATGCCACACTGAGTCCTCCA